ACTACCCGCAAGCGAATGGCTAGCCCTTCCGTCTCCGCTCGCTTGCGATTTGGCATTGATGTAGGCATAAAATAGCGGCAAACGACCACTGAAGGTATGAGTTGCGTCTCTCGCACACTTCAAATATATCTAAATCGAATCTAAAAAGACAAAAAATGATATAAAGCGGAAATGGTTAGCATTTACACATATTCAAAAGGCACCGTTGGACAAACTGTAGGAGCGCATTGCTGCAATATCAGCCTATCAGGTTATGAAAATTTTCCTCATGTTTAGGGCACAAATTATGGAGGGGCAAGAAAATACGTTTGCCCCTCCTCCAAAAGTTTCTTAGGGGACGGTGCCTCCTCTGCCACCCCGTATCCGTCGCCCCTGTAAGCGGTCACTGAAAGCCTGGGCTGCCGCTGCGTCACGTTGACGCTTATAATGCCTCCAAAACTAGGTTGAAGAGAGGAAAACTTCAGTTGAACGCGAACGCTTGCCATTTAAGAAAGGCAACGTATGATAAACTATATGGGCATCTGGTTACATCTTCAGATGATCGAACAGAATAATCAGGTATATGGTTTCTTGTCTAAGCTTTGTCACAAATTATGGGGGGGGCAAAAAGATACTTTTGCCCCCCCCACGAGTTTGCCAGGGGGGCAGCTGCCCCCCCTGCCCCCCCGAATCCGCCGCCCCTGGTACTGAGGAAATACTGAACTTTTCAAACAAAAGTATATCATATATTGTAGGTACAAAATATCTTGTGAATGATTCTTATTAGTTGATGCAGAAACAGTCGTTTTCGTTTCATTTATTTTATATTTTAGTTCAAAATTCAGTTCTGATTGACTGATTTAGGAATGCATGTGAAGGTGGTACAATACATTGATTGCATTCTTATTCTACAAATACTTCAAAAGGAAATAGACAAATCTGAAGAGATTTCTGTTGCTGATGCACTTCTCTTTGAATTTCAAGACTTTTAAATTAAGTATTCATCAGAAGTTTTTTTAAGCTTGATGTTGAAATTAAGATATTGTTCATTGTCTTGCATCAGCCCATGATGTTTCTATGTACCCATTATACAAACCACATGGTTTGATATTTGCAGATTGAGGTGCAGAGCCTCAATGCAAGCATTTACAAGCATTTACCTATATCATTGAGCCATTTCTGGCCTTTCTGTTGGAGGTGAAGAGCAAATGCTCCAAAGTCATCATTTTGATTTTTACAAATATTCAATCTTGGTGGTCTATGTCAAAGCACCCATCTTGCTGACACTTTTCAGGTAAGGTCAGAGAGCAGTCTAAATATGTGCATGCATCTCAATGATTTAAAACAATCCAAGTCTTCATTGGTGCTTATATCAATGTAAATCTGCTATTTTCATTGGCTTACCTATTCCCATGCCTGCGATTTCTTCATGGCAGAGGAAGCATTTATTCAAAGGTAATTATAGCTTTAAAATAGTAGGGATATGCGAGATGACGTTTTCATTATCAATGCATAGCTTCATTCCAGTAGCCAAATCAGTCCCTTGCATTTCTGCATTTATCGACCTGCCAACGGTGGCAATGGCGGGCGGTCCGGCAGTTGGCAGTAGCGCCACCTACACTGAAGGTCGGCGGATCCCGGGGCCACGGGCCGGCCTGGCCCGGCCGTGACGGACGGGCCGGGGAGCGGGCGGCAGGGGTGGGGAGGGTTTTCCGGGTACAACGGGCAGCATTGCACTTTATAAACAAGGTTCGTATAAAACACTTTGCCTCGAGTATCCGCGAGTCATTTTTAGGCAGGCGCGACGTTACTCAAATATAACTTGCGTTTAATTGGAGAGTCTGTAGGCAAAAGGCATTTGCACGTTGCTCATTGACTAGCCGTCTGTTTTGGAATAACGCCTGGTAATGATGCCCACAAGTGCAGTGCTAGCCTGCTTTTTTTATCTGTTTTTTTAGGTATTCATAAAAATGTTTGAAGGCCTTGCTTACCTAAATTTGTTCGTAATTCTTACGATTTGTTTGAAATGCCGATCTCCGAAGGAATAGTCCTTTCGAAAGCTGATACTTGCGTCCGGCTTTTAGTTTAAAAAATAACACCCATTATATTCATAAGTATTGCTGATTTAACAGCAAAGTAAGTTGAAAATTTCAATTACCTTGCCTTTGTGTAGATGAAAGAGAGCAGCCACCAGTCCAGCACACACGTCTAGCCGATCCCCTCACAGCCTCCACACTGCTGCCCATTGCCCAAGGACCGACCCGACTGACCGTAACATCTGTGTGCCATAAAATGGTACAACGGCGTCGTTCATCAGGCGGACCCCAATGCGAACGCCACGCGGACCGTCCGTAATCGAACGGTTGGTCCAGGACGACTGACGCAGGGCTTAGCTGATTTTGTCTGGTCTGACACAAGCTCTATAAGCATTGGTAAACCATCAGTTCAATCGTTTTGAGCTGACCTCTCGATTAAAGTATAAAGGCTAGCCATTAGTCTATCCCAGATGCAGAAATAACAAATACACCCTTCGCATTTGTTCGCGGCACACGTGATAACTGCGGTTCAGAAGCATGGGAACACAACATAAACACAACCAGTCTTCCAATGGGTATTGTTGGGTTCAGATGGCAGAAAGATGGCAGAAAGTTTTTTAAAGGCATAAAGGAACATTCCCTAAAAGCAACTCCAGAATCTAAAAAATTATGTCTCACACTTTTTGATCTTTTTTGAGCTTTTGAAAATGTTTCACCCCTATGTACCAAAACTTGATTGAGTGTCTTTCAAAGCCAGAAAACTAAAGATGTATAAATAAGGGCTTCGTCTACTGCTCAGCCAATAAAAGTTTACAATTTGCCCGGAGACAGAGCCAGTATGCCAGCTTTTACAGTTGGAGACAGCGTAGACATTTTTTCACCTCTGAGTAGATGTCGGAGGCCTTTGAAAGTCGCAGGATGTTATTAGATCATTAGTAGCTACAATTTGTATATCTCGGAATTTTGATGTCGGTGACCTAAGGTCACGTCAATTTCGCGACCTCCCCATTATAAGTCAATGCATTGACTTATAATGGGGAGGTCCCCATTGCAATGGGGGAAAAATCAACTCACTGTTTTTACCACTAAAACGGGTCGGAATGGCCCCATATACCATACATGACTTCATATACGATCAACCTTCACTACCTTGAGGTCTGTTTTGCTGTTGGGCAGCTGTAAGGTCATGTGACGTCATCAAAGGTCACCAAAGGGTTTTTGCCAATAACTCCGTACAGGAACAAGATACAGCCGCGCGGATGGTCTCATTGTGTTCAGCTCGTCAAGACGCATCGAATGATGCGTCATGATGACCTCGAGGTCACGTGACCTGAGGTCAACATATATATCATTCGATGCGGGTTGACGAGAGGATCACGATGATGCCCTTAGTTTGTTCCTATCTTGACTAATTCGAAAGTTATTCGAGAAAAACTCTCCATATCTAGCGCCGCCATTTTGACTTTTTCGACCCCTATGACGTCATCTTTGACCTGACCTGAAAATGACCTTTGTAAAAATTGTAGACCTTGTCCGTGCGTATCCGATGCCGTTTGCCGCTTGTCGCTATCTTGCTTCGTTCTCGAGATCTCAGGGGGGGGGTGGTCATCCGCCCCCCCCGTCGGTGCGAAGTTGGCGCAGACCCCCGTCGGTGCGCGGGTTAATAGAGGCATGCTAGAGCGATGAAAATGCTTAGATGTGTTCGCGTCGACGATACGCATCGAGTGATATACAACGTGACATTTTCTGGTCAGGCCATGACCTTGACTTGAGGTCAAATTTTCAAGTTGACCTTCAAGATTAAATTATAGTTCTTTCGATGAGTCTTGATGAGAAGAGCACGATGCTTTGAGTCAAATGTTATTGCAAAAAAAAAACTTCCGCAGAAAGGTCTATTTTTGCAGTTTTGACCCCTTCAGGCTAAATTGTTGAACTTAGGTCATATATGAGGAAATTACACAGAAAGTGCATTGAAAGAGCTATCGAATGCGCTTTTGCCGGTGCTGTAGCTATATTCATTCCTGAGCTACGCGCCGCTTTATCGAAAATTTTTGACCTAGCAGGTGTCGAAATTTTATCTTAGATGACCTCTGTTGACCTGAACTTAAAAGTGACCGAAGTGATTTCTTCATAATGTTGGAAGCTCTTCCGAACGACACCTACAGCGTGTCACTACTTGGCCCAGGAGCCGAGTTGGAAAGGGGGTCCAACACCCCCAGCAGGGCGTGGAAATCCAGGACCTCCAGGGGGCGCAGCTGGTTATAAAAGGAGGCTAACACGTATAAGTACAAAACAGTTCTGTTTGTAGGTACTTGTAAACTGTTTGTATATAAACAGTTCTGTTCGTACCTTTAGATAACCCAATTAGTGGCAGGCTCCCCTATTGGTGGCAGGGGGCTGTTTAGGACCTCCCTTGATATCTCAAGTTCTAACCCTCCGATTTTCCAAATTCAAACGGCATTCGATTCCACTCAACGTGATTTACATTTTGAAAAAAAAAAATCAAGTCCCAAAAAAACAAATAGGGGGGGGGGGCAGCAGAGGGGCAAAAGCTGCAAATTTCGGATGCATTTTTCAACTGATCACCACGGCCATGTTTTTTTAACCAATTTTGACGCAACTACCGCCAATCGATGCAGAATGAACTGAAAATTAACATGCATTGCAAAAATGGGCATTAAAAAAAGCATAGACGGATACAGGTAAATATATTTGGGAAGTACTTGAAAGTAAAAATACATAAAAATTCGGGTTTCTCGTTGGTGCATCACCAAAACGGATTGGCAATGGTCTTATTGATGTTAAAATGTGTGACAGATTGACTAAAAGTAGATTGGTAATTTAGGCGGCGTCAGGGAACCGAACTTGGGAGGTGAAATCGACCTCCCTTTCTTTTTCCTGAAACCGCTTATGATCCATCTCTTGTTCGCTTGTGAACCTGTAATGCCTGCAAATAATGTTGATCTACTTACAAAATGCATACCTACCGTTATGATGCACGCATCGTGGTCTTCACCCAACTGACTCACTTCACGAATAAGACCTCCCAATTACCGATGCCCTGAAACCGCCCCTGAAAGAATTAGCTTGAAGTTTTCAGGGAATGTGCCCAGCCTAGTTCTAAGAAAAGTCAGACAATTTCAGCATCCTAGCTTCAGTCGTTTCGAAGACTTAAAACAAAAAAACAAAAAAAAAAAACGAAGGGATGGATGAAAACAACCACCTGCCACTTATAGGCTTAAACTATTTACTATTTTGTGCTTATATGTGTTCGTCTGTTTTTTTTTTTAATATTTCTTCCTAGACTGACGAAAAAAGCTGTAATCCTTTCGAAAGCTCCCAATAAAAAAAAACTTAACCCTCGCCGGCACGGAGGGTTGATGCAACCCCTAAGGGTTTTCGCAAGTAACTCGCGGAAAAGCGGTCGATCGCGACGAAGTTTTCAGTACCCTCGCGTTTATCAATTTTACACATACCCTACAAATTTCATGATCCTGACCCAAATGACCTTTGACCTGTGACCTTTTTCCGAGACCATGTTCGGCCGGAATCGCGATTTGGCGTATGTCGGCTCGCATTAGCCGCGAGTTTGCAATGTGTTCGTGGTTTCAAACGAACACCAAACGTTCACACATGTGATTTGATGTTGCTCCCATGCATTGGAGTGGATGTCAAGGACCAAGGTCACCTGAAGGTCAGGTAAGGTCATTGACCTTTGATTACCTCGGCTCACTTTTTCAAGTTATACATACATGTTTCTGGGCTAGTTTTTGGAGCTGAATTCGATTTAAGCAACCATTTGAACATTTACAAAGTAGTTTTGGTGCCTTCGTAACATGTTGCAAAGCTGTCAGTGGTACTTGACAGTTGACACCTACTATTGATACCCGGTAGGCGGTAGTACGCCTACTGGTTGACCTGACCTGACCTGACCTGACCCAACTTGGTCTAAATGCATGAGGACATCGTCTGTGATCAAAACTAACATGAAAGTCATGATAAACACCCCGAAACAAAACATAGCAGTCTCACCTTACGAAGTTCTAACAGGTCCCGATTTTCCGACTTTTGGGTCATGGACATGACCTTGAAGGTCAAACAATTACCTAGGACCTGACCTAAAAGTTGGGTATCATCGGCTTCCTCTCGTCACGGGTAACACGCTCGTTCTTTCCGCGAAGCTCTAGCTTGATCAGGGGCCGAACGGCGGGGAAAGTGTCCAACCGACCCTTCCCCTCCCCTGCACAGTGCACATTGGACGCTGGAAAACGCCGCACACAGGCGAGGACTAAACAATGACTCTATCACATACTATCTGTCTTAGAAACATTAGCTCCGACACATTTAGATTAGAAGTCCATCATAGTGAAATACTTATACTCTACTGTTTATGCAGCAAAGTGAAAGTTCAGCAAGATTTTGTCCGACTTTGCTTGCTTTTGAAACATCCAATGCACTATGGACTAATGAACACAAGGAAAATGAAGGAACACTTAAATTGATAGCATGCGAGGATGAAGAAGAATCAGCTTTGAATCAGATTATGGAAAAATGAGTGCAAACCGGCACTTGCGGCCCTTGATCAACAGAGACGGTCAATCTAATTCAATATACCCTGGTGTACACCTGACACCAGGACCTTTCACAACTCAGGTGCCAGTCGGAATATTTTGAAAAGCTCATTTTCAAATATTCTTATAGTTTATTTTTCGAGTTTGTTTGTCAGCCCTTGTCTCCTGCCGCCTCCGTTCCCGTCACCCAGCCATCTCCGCGGCTCGGCGCCGGTCGGCCGCGCCCTGCCATGGCCGTGTGTCCAGTGCTGCTCTCGGAGGAGAGCCGCGGCCGGCTGGCCAGCGCGCTGCTGCTCCTCCACCTGACCGTGGCGCTGCTGGCGCAGGCCCTCTACCTGCTGGCGCTGCACGTGCGCCAGCAGTTGCGCCAGCGCGCCGCGCTGCTGCGCGACTACGAACCGGACACCGTCAGCCGACTGCTGACGACAACGGCCGTCCTGCTGGCCGCCTTCCACCTGCCCAGCGCCAAGGTCTGCCAGGACATGGGATACAAGGACACCAGGTGAGGCGGCCCAACGTCGGCCAGGACATGGGATACAAGGACACCAGGTGAGGCGCCAGGACATGCGTTGTACCAGGCGTTGTACCAGGCGTTGCGTTGTACCGGTGAGGCGCCAGGCGTCGTTGTATACCAGGACATGGTATACAACGACACCAGGTGAGACGGCCGAACGTCTGCCAGGACATGGGATACAAGGACACCAGGTGAGGCGGCCCAACGTCTGCCAGGACATAGGATACAGGGACACCAGGTGAGGCGGCCCAACGTCGGCCAGGACATGGGATACAAGACACCAGGTGAGGCGGCCGAACGTCGGCCAGGACATAGGATACAGGGACACCAGGTGAGGCGGCCCAACGTCGGCCAGGACATGGGATACAAGGACACCAGGTGAGGCGCCAGGACATGCGTTGTACCAGGCGTTGTACCAGGCGTTGCGTTGTACCGGTGAGGCGCCAGGCGTCGTTGTATACCAGGACATGGTATACAACGACACCAGGTGAGACGGCCGAACGTCTGCCAGGACATGGGATACAAGGACACCAGGTGAGGCGGCCCAACGTCTGCCAGGACATAGGATACAGGGACACCAGGTGAGGCGGCCCAACGTCGGCCAGGACATGGGATACAAGGACACCAGGTGAGGCGGCCGAACGTCGGCCAGGACATGGGATACGAGGACACCAGGTGAGGCGGCCGAACGTCGGCCAGGACATGGGATACAATGACACCAGGTGAGGCGGCCCAACGTCGGCCAGGACATGGGATACAAGGACACCAGGTGAGGCGGCCCAACGTCGGCCAGGACATGGGATACGAGGACACCAGGTGAGGCGCCCGAACGTCGGCCAGGACATGGGATACAATGACACCAGGTGAGGCGGCCCAACGTCGGCCAGGACATGGGATACAAGGACACCAGGTGAGGCGGCCCAACGTCGGCCAGGACATGGGATACAAGGACACCAGGTGAGGCGGCCCAACGTCGGCCAGGACATGGGATACAAGGACACCAGGTGAGGCGGCCCAACGTCGGCCAGGACATGGGATACAAGGACACCAGGTGAGGCGGCCCAACGTCGGCCAGGACATGGGATACAAGGACACCAGGTGAGGCGGCCCAACGTCGGCCAGGACATGGGATACAAGGACACCAGGTGAGGCGGCCCAACGTCGGCCAGGACATGGGATACAAGGACACCAGGTGAGGCGGCCCAACGTCGGCCAGGACATGGGATACAAGGACACCAGGTGAGGCGGCCCAACGTCGGCCAGGACATGGGATACAAGGACACCAGGTGAGGCGGCCCAACGTCGGCCAGGACATGGGATACAAGGACACCAGGTGAGGCGGCCGAACGTCGGCCAGGACATGGGATACAAGGACACCAGGTGAGGCGGCCCAACGTCGGCCAGGACATGGGATACAAGGACACCAGGTGAGGCGGCCCAACGTCGGCCAGGACATGGGATACAAGGACACCAGGTGAGGCGGCCGAACGTGCCGCGCTGGCGCCAAACCAGCCGGCGGCACACTCATATACTGTAGCCATCAAGTCTCCCAGTTAGTACCTAGCAAGGGCGATATTACGGCCCCATCACGTTTCCTGCAAAAATGGCAAAAACACCTTATGGTTTTGAGAGGCCCATATCTCAGCAACTGCTGGGGCGATTGATTTGCGGTAGTTTTTGTAGGCTAGCTGCATCCCTATTCCCTTCTACGAAACATCGGATACTATCGATGCATGTTGGTCACCTCCATTGCACGTGCAAAATGCAAAGAGAAGAGGTGCCAAGTTTGTTCCCATTTAAATAACTCGGCAATTACTGGGGATATACCACTGAAACTTGGCGTATAGGCACTAGGTAGGCATCCACGGCAATACATTCCTATGTGTTACAGTTAGGGTGTTACTGCACGTGCGTACGTGCAGGGGCCGTTTCCAGATCTCGAGAACGGCTGGGCCGATTGTGCTCAAATTCGGTCCACGATTGGGGACCAGTTAGAAGAGTGTCTGTAGTTTCAGTGATGCTTTCCGTGACGTAAGTGATACTTTCCGAAATGCGAGTCGGATGGAGTTAGCTCCGCTACATGCGGACCAGGAGTGGGTAGAGGAGTAGTTGACTAAGAGTCCCCTACGCTCGCCTCTGATAAAAAGTCACCAGAGCTTTTCAATAACTTTCGATGGTGACATGGTAGAAGTATGAACCTTTTATGTGCTCATCTCAGCAATACTGATCGAGAATTCGGTACCGCTAGTTTCCATATCCAGCTCTCGGACAGCTTTTGGACAGATCCATGCTTTGGAAAGATTTAGGACGAAAGGGAGCCATGATTGTTGCAGCTTGCAGCTCTCCTTACAAAAAAGAAAATCATATAAATTTATGGAATTATCCCAGCGGCCCCGAATGATTCGACATGCAACATGTAGAGCTGACTGGTAAGCCTGGTTCATTTTCTTCGTTAAGACTGAGTGTCATATTTTATTTTCGTTTCCAGACGCCGCTGGCACGCCTGCTTCCTGATGTGGCTGGCCGTCGATCTCGGCGTTAGTATCGCCACCATCGTACAGATGGCAGCACTGTTCCGACAACGGGTGCTCATTACCGACGCGTTCCAGCTGGGTTTCCGGTAAGAACTCCTAAGCGGAGACCAGTTTCTGGGGTTCCGGTAAGAACTGAGAGGAGACTAGCTTCTAAGGTTCCGGTAAGAAATCCTAAGCGGAGACCAGTTTCTGAATTCAGGGGTTCCGGTAAGAAATCCTGAGATGAGACCTGCTTCTGGGGTTCCGGTAAGAATTACTCCCGAGAGGAGACCAGTTTCTGGGCTTCCGGTAAGAAATCCTGAGAGGAGACCAGTTTCTGGGGTTCCGGTAAGAAGTTCTCTGAATGGGAGCATGGCTTCTGGGGCTCCGGTATGACATCTGAAAAGGGACCACATTGTCCTGTAGTCGTTAAATTTGAATCGAGTTCCTAGTGCGGTAGCCGCTAAGTGAAGCTGTGGGACGGGCAGCCGTATTTTAAGTGTAGGGTCGGACGGGCAGTCGTATTTTAAGCGTAGCGTGGGACGGGCAGTCGTATTTTAAGTGTAGCGTGGGACGGGCAGTCGTATTTTAAGTGAACCCATCTCAAGAAGCCACGTTTTGAAGCAGAATATTCTTCGTTTTCATACTGCTTGTACAGTCTTGCATGTGGAATGAGGAACAACTTGCTTTTTTTCCTAATATGAAGAGGCTTACCTCATGCACTCCTGACCATATCTCAAGGGAGAGATAAATCGTTTATCCGAAGTTGCATCCTGAATGCTCCCGAATTTAACCCTCGCCGGACCTATTGGTTTTCTACATACGCGCCGGCCGAGGGAGGGGGGGGGGGGTATACGACCCCGCTCGCCGTTTCGCCTCTGGTAGAGCTAGCGCGTCGCGGAAAAAACGAGCGTGTGCGCCGTTACGAGACGCAGAGATTGCTGCCCGATTTTAATGTCCTAGGTCAACCGGTGACCTCTGAGTTCAGGTCAAGTTTCCCAAGATACCTACGGTTCCGTTTTTTGTGCATAACTTCGCAAAAACGATTTTGGCAGCATCGTGTTCGCCTCGCTCAGGCACGTCGAATGATATACTTTTTATTTGGGTAAGGTCAACTTCGGGTGTTGACCTCAGGTCACGGTCAGGTCAGCACCCCCAGGTCACGAAATTGGTCGAAGTAGGTCATGTCGCATAGCATTCGATCCGGCAGGTCTTCCTGAGTCCATTGGTGGCTTTCCCGACTCGGAAGCTCAATTTGATCGGGAGCTCAGTTCTTGACGAAAAACTAATTACCCTAATGACGTCGTAAATGACGTCACGCAAGGTCAACATTGCAAAAGTGAAGCATCGAACCTTGCAAGGAGAGCACCAAATCACGATTCCGTGAGCTTGAGATAGTTGGAGATCGTTCCCGAAGCAAGAATAGCAGTTTTCATTTTTCCCAATTGACTTATAATGGTGAGGTCACGAAAATGACCTGACTTCATATGACCTTTAGGAAAAATCCGAGATATACAACTTGTGAGACTCGTAATGGATATTAGATCCTGCAAGTATCATTTCCCTGTGAAAGCTCCTCTGGCAGTGAGGGCGTTGCGAATTTGCGACATCTGAAGACCGTGCAGAGGTTCACTTATGACGTCATAGGTCAGTGATCTGACCTGACCCGAAACTGCAGTTGTTGTCAAAAGATCTGGCTTAAATCAAAGGTCAGGTATGCCAAGTTTCAGCTCTCTATCCCCAGCGTATTCGGAGCTATCGCGAAAAAAACCTATGGGGGGGGGGCACCCGTCCCCCCCCCATCGGCCGGCGAGGGTTAAGGGTAAGTAGTAAAAAAGCATACCGTGCCACTGAAGATTGGCGAGCATCCACCTTAGTTATGCATTGATTGCCACGGTGAGGTGAGGGGAATGAAGGAAGGGGTCGATGGCACGCGGGTCACCTGCCGAAGTCTTCAGTCGAGGGCAATGTTGTAAAAGAATCCGTCTAAATTACCTGTTGGTTTATAAATTGCAGATCCCTTTTCCCTAGTGATATAAAAATACGTGCTAGGCATCGAAGGCACTTGTTTCAAAAAAGAGTGCATCACTTAATAGTAAAGTCACGAAACATTTAATATATGCGCACAATAGCTGTCAGCAGCAGTTCTTATGGTATCCACAGTTACCCTGTTAACCAAAGTTCTCAATCTTATGTTACCAAATTTCCCTGTTACCGACAGTAGTACCCGTGTTACGGCCGGTGCCTCGTGTGGCCCGGCAGTTTCCCTGTTACCGACAGTGCCCGTGTCGTGGCCCCACAGCTTCCATGCTACCGAGACAACTGGCCCGACAGTGTCTGTGTGACCCGGCAGCGCCGTGTGACCCGGTAGTGCAGTGCCGTGTGACCCGGCGGTTCCCCTGTTACCGGCAGTCTGACCCGGCAGTGCGGTGTGACCCGGCAGTGCAGTGCCGTGTGACCCGGCGGTGCGGTGTGACCCGGCAGTGTCTGTGTGACCCGGCAGCGCCGTGTGACCCGGCAGTGCGGTGTGACCCGGCAGGCAGGCGATCACCGAGTACGACGACCGGCCGGCCGTGAAGAGCGCCGTGGACCGTGTCCAGCTGGAGGGCGGCTGCTGCGGCTCGGCCCTCTACCGCGACTGGTTCCGCGTGGCCTGGGCTGACCCGGAGCAGGTCAACGAGCTGTCTCTGTTCACCGGCGACCGGCGGATGCGGGACGGCCTGTGGCTGGTGCCGTGGGCGCCCTGGAGCTGCTGTAACGCCACCCACCTGGGGCCGTGCGACTCGCTGTGGACGCTGGCGCCGCACCGCCTCACCGAGCAGCAGCAGCGACAGCGCCACGCCGACATCGACAAGGAGATGGCCCGCCTGTTCCCGGACAGCGCGCCCAGAAGGTACCGGGACGCCGACGGCGCGCTCCTCTCCGCGCACCAGGTGGAGCAGGTGCTGCGCCAGGAGCGCGCCAGGGTCCGCGCCAGGAGGAGCGCGCCGGCCGCAGGTGACGGACGGGCCCCGACGGCTGGAGCCGCGGCCAGCAACGGCACCGCGGCGGCCAGCAACGGCACCGCGGCGGCCGGCGGCGACTGGGCGGCCGTCCAGCCGGCGCCCACGCTCGCCTCTATGATGGCCGGCCTGGTGGGCGAGGCCTGGTTCAGCGCCGACATTCCGGAGGAGGTGGCCGTGCCGTCCGCGCTGTTCGTGAACACGCTGAACGCCAGCGACTACCGGCGCCGGCTGCGGCGGCTCGAGCTCCGCTCGTACAGCCCTCCGCAGCGGGAGGCCGTGCGGCAGCGGCAGCTGAACCAGCGCGGCTGCGCGGCCTTCCTCTCGGAGCTGACGCTGGAGCTGCTGGCGCCCGCGTACGGCGTGCTGCTGCTGGTCGTCCTCTGCCAGGTGGCCGTGCTGGCCGGCGCGCGCTGGCTGCAGACCTCCTGCGACCTGGCGCGCCGCTGGGGAGGCGACCAGCTCACGGCGCCCGGCTACCTGCTCTTCAGCTGGCCGTGCACGCTGGGCGAGGGCCAGGAGCTGCAGCCGCCGCCCGAGGACCCGGAGGCCATCTTCCACATGAACGACGAGGAGGAGGACATCATGGGCTCCCTGGGGCTGGAAGGCGTGCGCGATGCCCTGAACGTGGCGCAGGGTCTGGCGTCGGGGGACGCGCGCGAGGCGCTGGGAGCCGTCCAGGACACGGGCGTGCTGGAGGGGACGCGCCTGGAGGGGGCCGCCCAGCTGCTGTCGGCAGCGGCCGGCGACGAGGACGACTGAGCCGCCCTGCTGACGCCGGCGGGCAGAGCACGACGTGCGGCAGATCGCCACAGGTGACGGTGACTGACGTTTGAGTCAGTATAGCCAGCTGAAGATGTCGTTCAAACGGAGTCTCACACACGGATGATTTATGACCCATACGCAGCGTGACCGCACAATGAACGGCGCTGATTTTCTGTATAGGTAGCGAAAACCGTGAACAAGCCAAATCAGCTCAGTTCTACGGGATCTATGATCCCGTAGGATGAGATCCCAGCTCCATTTTCCTAGATTCGTGCACATTTCTGACGCCGTGACCCCTCCCAGTGCGAACCGAAACACGAGGGAGCGGCGAAGAAGGGGAGAATGTGCAGTTTCAGCCACCGCTGCGTATCAGAGGGTGCTGCAAGAGGAGGAAGGACATGTTCAAGCGCGCACGAAGCAGGGAAGGACACCCAGCGAAGCCCAAGAACTCTAAAATATCCGCCAGCTGCGAGCATGTATGCGGGTCTTATTCAGTGACAAGGAAAAGATCCAATTGCACCTCAACCCCAGCCGGTCCAATAGCAATGGTGTTGCACCGCAACGGCAGCTACAGGCGCTCAGTACCTAAGGGAATGGGGGGAATGGGTGGGTGCGGTGCGATATAATTTTTGCAAAAAAGGCGCCTGAGATGTGTGCCGCCATCGGGAGAGAGGAGAAGTGGCTCGTATCAGATCGATGCGAACCACTTCTCGATTCTCGAACGAACAGTGCAGCATCAAGCGCTTGAACAGAATGGCCTGAGCTCCTACTCTGTTTACGCTTGTATCTGTTCACGTGTATCGTATCTGAATGCAGAAAAAAATTGTTGCTTTTTTATATGTTTTCTTTCGGTGAACAACAACCGAGCATAGTATAAGTAAAATACATAGATAGCGACGCCAAGGCTCGAAAAAGTGCTTAAAAAACAGACCTCTGGTGTAATCCGCCTTAGCGACTGTATAATAAACGCCAAACGGACACTGTTGGTTCCTACTTCCTAGTTCCTACTCAGCACTTTCCTATCTTTCATTCTCACTTGCGCATATTTATGATTGCTCTCTTACTACATAGAATGCATTCATTAACGCATCCAAACCCGTTCCGAATGCTCGAAATGTATAAACAGAAGTTTGAAACTCGAGCTTTTGTATGAGGAAATTAGTATGAACAATTCGTATATCTCTAAGTTTTCACATCGGTGACCGAATGTCAGGTCAGTTTAGCGACCTCGCCATCGTCGTTGGGAGAAAATTGAAATGCTCTTCTTTTGGCCGAAAACACATTCAAACACCATGACACGGGTAAACATGGCACACTGAACGGAACAATTGCACCTGTTACCCCTTCTATGTCCTTGAGGTCATCTCAGGTCATGAAACATCTCCAACAGTTTTTTTTTTTTACTATAACTTTAGATAGAAGCATGCAAGAGCGCTGAAAACACGGTAACACCATGGATGTGTTCAGCTCAACGATACCAATCGAATGACATGCAACATGACCTTTTCCGTGACATTGAACAGGGGTCAAATTTTCCAGTTGACCTTTTCAGGTCAACTTATAATTAATCCGACACGTGTCGACGAGACAAACGTGATGCCGGTAAAGTCAGCGTCATACAAGTTTTGAGTCAAACGTTATGATACACAAATCTTTTCCGCTTTCCCGCAGGCAGCACTACAGCTTTATTGGTTTCTGACTTATGCGCTGATTTCAGATTTGTGAGAAGTTGTCAAAATTGGGAACAAAATTGCGCGAAAATTTTAACCTTTTGTGACCTCCAGTGACCTCAGCGATAAACTGATCAAATATGCATTGGTAATTCTGAAAAGTACTGTAGCGAGCTATCTGTTGCTTTTTACGGCATTTTTCTAGCTTACCGCATTACCGCATTACCGCATTACTTTCCGAGATAATCTGGTGTGACCAAAAAGGGGGGGGGGGGCCACCCACCATGGCGAAGTTGGCTGAGAGGCACACCCGGGCACTGGCTAAACAAAACATCCATAGTTTTGTCTTCCGTTGACTACATATTACTATTCACGTCGATTTAGAGACAATAGCCGTTTTCACGACGGGCTATCCGGCGAATGCACCTAATTTGACCAAATCTGCACCTAATCTCTTATACAGCAAATATCTTCATTTTATGCTTTTTTCAGTGTTTTCGTCGATGATACTCTCTGATAATATGACAAAGCAGGCATATAAGCAATTATTGTAACCCTAGCCGATAGCTACTAAGAGATACACTGAACCTAATTTGACCAAATCTGCACCTAATCTGCACCAAATGTGTACCAGATGGCCGTCGTGAAAACGGCTAATATTTGGCTATTTAAGCAAATTGAGGAGTCCGCCGGTTTTACTCGGGACGGTCCCCAGTAACCCAAAAGTTACTGGGGACCGGTTCCCAGTGTCCCCAGTGGTGGTTACGCGCCTGGTTAACCCTCGCCGGTACAGGCTATTTTGCGTCCCTCGACGGCACAACGGTGCTACGACCCCCCCCCCCCCCCCTCCTCGCGTTTGGCCCCTGATCGAGCTAGAGCTTCGCGGAAAAAAAAAACGAGCGTGTTGCCCGTCACGAGAGGAAGCCGATGCTACCCAATTTTAAGGTCCTAGGTCATCGGGTGACCTTCCAGGTCAGGTCAATGACCCGAAAATCGGGAAAATCGGGACCTGTTAGAAAGTCGTCAAGTGTGGCTACTATGTGGTTTTCTGGGGTGCTGACCACGAATATCGTGTTAGTTTTGATCAGAGATGATGTCTTGAAGCATTTAGACCAGGTCGGGTCAGGTCAGGTCAGGTCAACCGGTAGGGGTCGTGACGGGTATTCGTAATACGTGTCAACCGCCTCTGACAGCTTCGCAACATGTTACGAAGGCACCAAAACTACTTTATGGCTGCTAAATTCGAATTCAGCTCCAAAAACTAGCCTAGAAACATGTAAAACTCGAAAAAGTGAACCGAGGTCACCAAAGGTCAATGACCTGACCTGACCTTCAGGTGACCTTGACACCCACCCTAATGTATGGGAGCAACATCAAATCACATGTTTGAACGTTTGAAACCACGAAAAGCTTGCAAACGCGCGGCTAATGCGAGCCGACATACGCCGAATCGCGATTCCGGCCAAACATGGTCTCGGAAAAGAGATCACAGGTCAAAGGTCATTTGGGTCAGGGTCATGAAATTTTCAGGGTAGGTGTAAAATTGATCAATGCGAGGGTACTGAAAGTTCCGTCGCGATCAGTCGCTTTTTACGCGAGTTATTCGCGAAAAACCATAGGGGGGATTGCAACAACTGGCGAGGGTTAAGCATCTGCCCACAGTGGGCAGATGCTTAACCCTCGCCGGACCTATTGGTTTTCTACATACGCGCCGGCCGAGGGGGGGGGGGCGGGTACGACCCCCCCTCGCCGTTTCGCCCCTGGTGGAGCTAGCGCGTCGCGGAAAAAACGAGCGTGTGCGCCGTTACGAGACGCAGAGATTGGTACCCGATTTTAAGGTCCTAGGTCAACCGGTGACCTCTGAGGTCAGGTCAAGTGCCCCAAGGTACGGTTCAGTTTTTGGTGAATAACTTCGCAAAAAAAACGGCCGCAGAGCGCCGATTTTGGCAGCATCGTGTTCGCCTCGCTCAGGCGCGTCGAATGATATACTTTTTGTCCGGGTCAGGTCAACTTGGGGTGTTGACCTCAGGTCAAGGTCAGGTCAGCACCCCCAGGTCACGAAGTTGGTCGAAAGAGGTCATGTCGGCAGGCCTTCCTGAGTCCATTGGTGCCTTCCCCGACTCGCTAGCTCAATTTGATCAAGAGTTATTGACGAAAAACTAATTTGACCTTGATGACGTCATAAATGACGTCACGCAAGGTCAACATTGCAAAAGTGACGCATCTAACCTTGCAAGGAGTGCATCAAATCACGATTCTGTGTGCTTGAGATAGTTGGAGATCGTTCCCGGCGCCAGAATAGCAGTTTTCATTTTTCCCCTTTGACTTATAATGGTGAGGTCACGAAAATGACCTGACCTCATATGACCTTTAGGAAACATCCGAGATATACAAGTTGTGGGACTCATAATGGATACTAGATCCTGCAAGTTTCATTTCCCTGTGACATCTCCTCTGGCAGTGAGGGCGTTGCGAAGTTGCGACATCTGAAGACCGTGCAGAGGTTCACTTATGACGTCATAGGTCAGTGACCTGACCTGACCCAAAAATGTGGTTGGTGTCAAAAGATGCGGCTTGGATCAAAGGTCAGGTATGCCAAGTTTCAGCTCTCTATCGCCAGCGTGTTCGGAGCTATCGCGAAAAACCCTATGTGGGGGGCGGCACCCGCCCCCCCCCCCTCGGCCGGCGAGGGTTAACCCTCGCCAGTTGTCCACTCCAATTCTTCCCTATTCGCACCGACTTCTGCATCGTTGACCTGGCGCAGCGTTGTTTACGACGTCACTCAAGTTATCAATAAACCCCCATCAATTTGAGCTAGCGATTCGAAAAACTAAAAAGCCGCCAATGGACTCAGGAAGACCCACTGAATGAAATCATATCGGATATTGGTATGACATCCTCCAACAAACTTTGCAAACTGAGTGGTTCTAACCTGACCTTGACCTGAAATCAACACGAACACCTTAAGTTGACCTCAACCAACCAAAAAGTACTTTAGTCAACGCGCTTGAGCAATGAGCACGTCAAACACGAGTGCCAAACAAAAATCGCGGCTCTGCGACCATCGTTGGCGAAGTTATTAACCAAAACCAAACCCCTGCTTTGTGGCACTTGACCTGACGTCAGAGGTCACCGGTTGACCTGAGACCATTAAATCGGGTATGTACCAATCAACGCGGCTCTTGTTCAATTAGGGGCGAAACGGCGAGGGAATCGTACTCTCCCCCCCCCCCCCCCCCCACGGCCCTAGCGTATGTAGAAAATCGACAGGTCCGGCGAGAGGTAAAACCGGAATAAAATAAGCTGACAACAAAACGGTTAGCCTTTCCATTAAATCTGCAGCATACCTGAGCCGTTTGGGCAACACCTGGGTCCCGCTGACGCAGTCTTTGTCTGCTCTCTGGGTCCCGCTGACAGCCTTTGTCTTCTCTCAGCAGTCAGCTGCGTATCTTCGCGACTGACAGCACCGCGCTCTGGGACCGTCAGTCGCCTCCCGAACGGCACCGGCGGTCTAGGGGGGGGGGGGGAAGCTGCGTGCCGCAACCATGCTGATCAGTGACCAATGACCAGTGACCAGTGCAGCGACTAGAGGTACAGGCTCCGAGCCTCTCTGACGGAGCGCGGGGTCGGGTTTCCCGAATCGGTCGTTGATGCGCAGTGCGGGATCGGGGCTGACCTCGCCCCGCGCCCGGCCCGAGCGGTCGGTCGCCCGGCGGAGGGCTGGCACGGCTCCAGGCCGCCGGGCGCCGCGTCGGTCGACGGGCAACAACAGCCGACACGTGGCCGAGGCATGATCGGCTGCGTATCGGGCCGCCGGCGCTGCGGAACCACCGCTAAATGTGAGCACTTTCAATTAACACTTTCGTCGCCTTATTTTAATATAAAAATTATTCCCGATAAATTCCATACGTGCGTTTTCGAACTAGACATGAAAACACTGGTGACGTCATGCTGTGGAACTTACATTGCAATGTAATGCATGACTACCATGTATGACACCTCTTGCTCGATTATAACCTCGGCAACAGTGAAAAAAAAAAACGAAGCTTCCCTCAGGTGGGTGACGGCGCGTGATCGCCTGAGGCGGTGGGGGGCAAAAATATTTTCGTTATTTAATGCTCAATGCAATCACTGCGACTTTTTACAAGACCTTCTTCTCGTCGTTGTTTCTTGCTTTCAACGACTGGTCCCCGAGTGATGACTATCCTCACGCAAGATAGGATGAATGGAGCTAGCAATTAAGCCCAAAAACATATCGAAAATGTTACAAAACATTTCTTTTGAAAGAGATGAATTGAATGGTTTTGGAGCCACTTATGTGCATTAGGTGCACCGTCCACCCATTTCCCTTCATCCTGTTATAAATAAATATCGGTGGACTAACCTGGAGTACCTACCTAATTTCCTTCACTGGTGTATGTGATAGGGGAAGATTCCACTTGATTTCCCGGAGTGGGGATGATTTCAATACAGCAAACGGTATCCAATTTCTCTTGTTGTTGAATCTTGTTGTTGACGCTTATTTTTGAAAAATGAGGCAAATGATTCCCCCTACCCCATTGACTTATCATGAGGAGGTCAAGAATTTGACTGACACCGATATAAAAACTGTGATAAACAACTTGTAGATACATAGCTTCATTATCCCCGCTTCTGGCATTTTCTGCTCGATTTGTATGTCTCTGTAGGTTTGTTTTCTTTAACAGGTATGCCTTATGTTTTGATTTTATTTTAGTTTGATTTCGGTACGTTGTCGTCAACTAAGTCATCTATGATCTAGTTCGTCCCACCCATGGCTGCCCGGCGCGGTCCAGTCTCCACTGGTTATGGCTCCCCAGAGCTTAAAGGTAGTGTGCCAGCTTTCCTGGACCGTATGGAGTTAATGGCCCAGATAAGGAGAACCGGATTTTTAGAACTTATCCATACCTTCAAAACTCATGGAAACGTCTTAAATTCTTCAAATTTTGAGTACCCCAGTGCGAAATTCGCCCCGACGGGTTGTCGGTCGTACCCCAACCACATTTCACACCACTATGAACAATAAATGCACACACTGAAATCGCTATTACCGATATGCTCATCCAATCAAGTTTCGATAAACCCGTTCATCATCAGCTCCTGCGGTTACGAACACGCCTGTTAGGTGGTGCGGTAGACCACGCCCAAAGCCAGGGCCCCGGTAACGCGAGGTAGCCGAGTCAGGGCAGCGTGCGCTGACCCAAGCCGGAGCCGCGCGTCCTCCCGGTGTCATGTGATAGCCCGGGGCTTTGTGGTGCGGTGGTGGTGCGTCGGGCTGCGCGCTCTTACTTCGGCCAAGAAAAATGCGTCAGCTGATCATTGTCATTTCTGCCACTTGCGTGTGGTGAAATGGGGTCATAACCTATAAGACGGCTTTTTCATATCAATTATTTTACATAAAATCATATTTCAAACCATAAATAATGTTCGACAGCCAAATAAAAGAAACAATACCAATACGGGCTTACAGTTTAAGGCTCGACATTGTGTTGTCTACGATTAGACAGCTGATAACTCATTCCCGTACGTCGTATGGTTGTAACACTATAATGACCTTTGCTTATTGTCACAAGTGCGCCGCCTTCGCGATTGTTGCCCGACGCCTGTTTGCAGGTGAGCCCACTACAGTTGTTATACATATCAAAAAAACCGATAACCTTTTAGGCGAAAAAGGCACTATTCCAGGCCCATTTTTGATTTTTTTTTGCGATATTAGGTACAAACAGAAGCTTCTTATCCTAGGAAAAATAAAATGGGAAATCTTTCAAAGGTGGCACACTACCTTTAAAGGTCACTGATGACTGAAGTCATTTATATCATCACGATTTGGACGCACTGTCCTCGTTCGCGCCAGCTCAAGCTTCAACAAAGAAGGCGCCGCGCAGGTGACAGCTGAGCAGCGTCTCGCCCGCCCGCGGCCCGGGGGCAGGCGGCTGCGACAGCCACGGTCTCGGCACGTGTCCCCCGGGGCTCGGCGCCGCTGGGTTGTCTGTGTGTGGAGCCCCCCCCCCCCCCCGCGGCTCTCCCAGCCCTCCCCCCCCCCCCGCCGCGGGGCCGGCGCCACCGCTGCAGGGTACGGCGTTCACCTGTCAGCCGCCGCCGGGCCGCGGGCCAGCTGATCACGTGTGCCCGGCGTGGCCGCAGGCTGCCGGGCCGGGCCGGACCGCCGCGCCGGCCGGTCGGCCCTCATACGGCGCACGGCGGACCGCGGCGGCGGAGTGGCTGGAAGACAGAGTCCGAGTCCGAGTCAGTTCAGACTTCAGAGTCAGAACCCCGGCCATCTGCTCCACTGCAGCGGCGCCATGCCTGAGCTACCCAGGTGAGTCGCAGGCCCCCGTCGCGCCGGGGGCTGGAACTTGTCTGTACTGGGGGCCACAGGGTCAATGAAAAGCTGGTATGCCATTTCAGAAAGCAAGGATTGTCGCTGATGAGGCTACCACCTAGTGACAACCTGATTGGCTCCAGCCAATGAAGTGGTAGCGAATGCGCCGGCTGCGTGGTGCAGCGAATGAACCTTTGGATCCGCGCGCCACCTTCGACTTATTTGTACTAGCAAAGCCAAAAACAAAACAAGGAAAAGCAGTCATTCACCATAATCACACCAGATTAAAGGTAGTGTGCCACCTTTGAAAGATTTCCCGTTTTATTTTTCCTAGGATAAGAAGCTTCTGTTTTTACCTAATATCGCAAAAAAATCAAAAATGGGCCTGGAATAGTGCCTTTTTCGCCTAAAAGTTTATCGGTTTTTAGATATGTATAACAACTGTAGTGGGCTCACCTGCAAACAGGCGTCGGGCAACAATCGCGAATGCGGCGCACTTGTGACAATAAGCAAAGGTCATTATAGTGTTACGACCATACGACGTACGGGAATGAGTTATCAGCTGTCTAATCGTAGACAACACAATGTCGAGCCTTAAACTGTAAGCCTGTATTGGTATTGTTTCTTAAATTTGGCTGTCGAACATTAATTTGTGGTTTGAAATATGATTTTATGTAAAATAATTGATATGAAACAGCCGTCTCTTAAGTTATGACCCCATTACACCACACGCAAGTGGCAGAAATGACAATGATCAGCTGACGCATTTTTCTTGGCCGAAGTCAGAGCGCGCGGCCCGACGCACCACGCGTATTTGGAAATTCCGACCTCGACGAGCATCAGAAGCCACCTAACAGGCGTGTTCGAAACCGCAGGAGATGATGATGAACGGGTTTATCGAAACTTGATTGGATGAGCCTATCGGTAATAGCGATTTTAGTGTGTGCATTTATTGTTCATAGTGGTGTGAAATGTGGTTGGGGTACGACCGACAGCCCGTCGGGGCGAATTTCGCACTGGGGTACTCAAAATTTGAAGAATTTAAGACGTTTCCATAAGTTTTGAAGGTATGGATAAGTTCTAAAAATCCGGTTCTCCTTATCCGGGTCATTAACTCCATATGGTCCAAGAAAGCTGGCACACTACCTTTAAAGTGCCGCCTATCGTTCTCCTTATGCTGGTCACAGTCACAGCTAATCACGCGTCGGCAGTCACAGCTAACCACGCGTCGGCAGTCTCAGCTAACCACGCGTCGGCAGTCACAGCTAACCACGCGTCGGCAGCACCTGTCAGCCGGACCGTGCGACTCGATTGTGTTTACCTCCGTCATGCAGGGAAGGTCATGAAGCCGGTCGTACCGGTTTTGAGGCACACTGCTGGATGCTGGATCATGATAGGGATGCAGCCGTTTGTGTATAATTCAGCCATTTGCAATGACGTATACACGAGCATAAAAGCGTTGTTGAAAGCACATTCAAGATTAAACTTGGTTTTGTCGCAATTTTTTCTTGCCCGAGACAATTTTCATGTTATTATGATATTTTCCTCAATAATTGCCTGCCCTTTTGAAATAGCGCTTTTCAGTGTAGGTATTTAACTAATGATAACTTCGATCTTTATTCGATGATCCTATTTTTCGGATATTCTTCTCTAGCTCTGAAAATAGCCTGCTGAAGCGGAGAAGGAATGGTCAGATGTCGTTCCCCGTTCTCGGGCGTTGTTGTTGTTGTTGTTGGACGGTCCCATCGCTGCGGATCTGTGCCATGAGCCCATCACGACATAGCTGACTCAGGCTCTGCTGCGCTGTGGTGTCCAGTGTTCACTGGCCGCGTCACTGAACCGGCCACAACTGGCCCGTGCACACACCGTCCGTAATAGACCGTTTCCACCGCCACTCGCCGGCGCGGCGCAGTGGCTGGCCGCTGTACATACATACATACATACATACATACATACATACATACATACATACATACATACATACATACATACATACTCCGCTGCGCCGCTCAGCGCATTTCATTACATCGCTGCGCGGTATGTTATCACCTCACTACGCGGTATGTCATCACATCACTGCGCGGTATGACGTCACATCATCTCACATGACGTCACATCATCTCACATGACGTCACATCACTGCTTGGTGTGACGTCACGTCATTGGCTGTCCTTCCCCCCCCCACCCCCACCCCCACCCGTGTGCCCGTGTGCACACTTGTGCAGTGAGCAGTGCGCAGTGGGCACGCTGGCAGCCTGCCGCGGCACATGGGACACAACTGTGATCCCCTGGTCCCGCATGGCGTTACGAACCTCCCGTATCGGGATTCTGCTGAGCAGTGACCAACGAACCGCTCTTGCCGGGATGCCGCTGACCGCTACTGCCGACCGCTACCACCTGCCATTGTGACACTCGCTATAATGTTTAGGCGGGCTGATGTTTGATGTTTGTCTTGCTGTGTTAGCTGGGGTGATTGTGTGCGCATGCAGGCTGAAGGGGTGTTAAGTCCTTGTGCCGGTGGCCGGGTGACGTCACAACAGTCGAGGTTCCCGCCGGGTCGGTCTGACGGCGGTCGGCGGCTGACCAGGGCCCTGTTTCACCGGTGATAGCAGCAAGCTGCTATCACGTTTCGCGAGCTGACGTCATGTCATGACGCCATACTGCTGACGTTATGGGCAGTTCCGGCGCACGATGGCCGCGACCTTGGCCGCAGCATTAAGTGACGTATGAGACTAATAGTAAGAGTTTACGCAGTCATTCTAGTATATTTATTTTTATTATATATTTTTCTTAATATGATGTATTTAAAAGAAGTTAGGTTTAAGGAAAATTTGGACGTAAACTTCGAACATTTAGTTGATGACGTAAAACAATATTGCGGCAATCGTGCGCCAGAATTGCCCCTTACGTCAGCAGTATGACGTCATCACATTACGTCAGCTCGCGCAATTTGATAGTGGCGTGCTGCTATCACCGGTGAAACAGGGCCCAGGGGTCAGCGGGGTCGGCCGCCCGGTCAGTCAGCAGTGAGACCGCCAGTCGGCTGAGTCAGCTGCTGGCTCAGCTGAGTCAGCTGCTGGCTCAGCTGAGTCACCTGCTGTCTCAGCTGAGTCACCTGCTGTCTCTCCTTTGTCTCAGTCGCGGCGAGTATAGACCTATTACACTGGGCCGACCTCAGCTGACGGTTTACGTCATAGGCACTACAATGGGAAAAACAACGCGATGCTCCAATGCATTGCACCGCTGTAACGTCTTGCTCAAAATCAACAAACAATATGTATCATTATTCAACTGATAACGTGCTTCGGTAAAAAGTTAAGTTTAGATAATGGCTGTGATCGTGGCATGTGGTAGCTGTCAGGTTCCGTGATGTATTTTGCTTTTCTCGGTTTTTATTTCTCGATATAATATATAATCTGTTTTAATTGATTTCTCAATATGTTTGAACATACGTGAAAGGCGTGCTGGTCTTGCAATGCTGTTGATCCTTATGTCAACGTTGAAAGTTCCCCGCTGAATTCCCGGTTTTCAATTTTTCCCATCTGTATGCACTTCTCCAATTTTTATATCGATAACATTTTGTTGCCTAATAATGTATCTTGTAGGGGAAAGTGGGTGTATTGCGCCCTCCTAACCAATTGCGCCCACCAACATTCCCACGGATTCAGTGGCATGTTTAGATTTTTGTGTTCGAAAACATTATTTTCACCACTGGATAGATCATTTTATGGCCCAAACTCTCTGATGAAGCCAATTAGCAAGGCTCATTACGCCATCAAAGATGTTTTGGCGTTTTCTTAACTTTTTTGCAGTATTTTGAGCCGTTGGCTATACAAATTTGCGATATTTGTGTGATTTTCAGAGTGATATTTAGAAAGAAACCCCATTTTTTCATTGTATTTCACTGAAACAGTAAACATTCTTCAACATCTTTATGATAACCTCTACGCTTTTATTAAAAAGTACCTCAATTTTAATTGCGCCCATGGCAATTGCGCCAGGGGGGCGCAAATAGAATAATAGTGTAGTCATTATATCACGACAGTATGAATGCATCATTAACTGATTGCAATAAAGCAGGAGCTTGATGTCAGGCAAGGGAGCAGCCCGCTGTCGTCAGTCCGCAAATTATTTCTCTCGTCAAACTTATAATGCAGCTGCCATTTAGGCTACGGCTTGTGGTGTAATGGACAAAATACGACATTTTTAACATGGACTTAGGCGTGAGAAGTGACAGCTATGATAAAAAACTAAAAACTGATGTCATTAAGTTTTCAAAACGATAAAATGATTAATTTTGCGAGAAACGATTGAAAATTTAACTGTATAGGCGCATACGATCACATATATCTAGTCGGTTACAGTAAACGTTTTTGTTGCACTTTTACAAGCGTACGGACACATGTAAAGTTATCTACCTGGGCAAAAAACATCGCGATTTATATCTACATTTATTATTTAACCAGCCTGAATAACATTATAAATGTTTAAGTAAGCCGCAATGACATTAGACTGCCGGGGTGTATGCATTCCGTCTCAATTAATCACTTAGCCATATTAAATTATAGGGCGCAATTGGGTTCTAATTGCGCCATCCCCCTGGCGCAATTTACAGCAGTTGTTGGCAAATGCGCCCTTTTGCATGTTTCTGAAAAAGCAGCTGTCAGAAGCAAACGAAACATTCTCAATTGATCGGGAGGCTCTTAAATCGTAGCCAATGAGTTCCTCTTTGAAATGGTTACCAGTGCATGCTTATATCTCCAGCGGTTTTCTTACAATTAGCGTTTTTCGTTAAGGTGGCGCAATTCACCCTCCTTCCCCTATGCATTCTTTATATATTATTAGGAATACTATTTTATGTAAATATAGATTGCTTTGATTTCATGGGACGAAAGGAAAAATTTGCCTACTGTGACGTTACTGTACCCCTCGGGTGAAGACCTCGGCTAGCATTATTGCCCTCGGCTACGCCCTAGGCAATAGCCAAAAGGTATGTTTCGGTCTTCCCCCTCGGGTTACAGTGACGTCACATCGGGTGATAATAAACACTATTGCCCGTTGTCCTCTTACTGACCGACATACCTCATGTTTTTTCTGAAAAATAAGAGGCTCTGTGATTGGTTTATCACGAGAGAATATAACTCTTCCAAACAGGCTTCTTGTTTTGCCCCGTTTCTCAGTATCGCGACATTTCCTTCTGTGCCTCTTTTTCCATTGTTGTTATTCTATATCCTGCGACATTATGAACATTTTTTTCGCAAAGTGAAATGTGTCTGAGTGTAGGTACTTGTGAGCGTATGCAGTAATCTACAGTTTCAGGATGGCCAGCGAGAAGGGCTCCGCCAAGTACACACTGCAAAACGAGTAAGCATTGCGTCTCGCTTCGATAATTTTTATTCGACTTATAATTGTACCAGCCTAAGCTTAGAATTATGGACCTTAGCTGTCCTCCAGTTTTGCCCGTTATCGGGGTGCCGTTTGTCTCTGCGCTATGTCCACATTACACTTCACTATCGGCCCGTGTGTTCAGGGATAAAGTCGACAAACACGGCACGCTAAAGTGGATTATCTCGGGTCAATGAGCTCTCGTGTCGGCTGATACTCGGCACACAGACCGGCCTCGGTGGACTGAAATAGCCGCTCGGTGCGGGGCGCTGGCGATAGGCCCTCGAGTGAGGCGCCCGATGACCCGGGGTCGAGTGGTGTCCGGTGGACCCTGCAGCGTCTCTGTGTGCACTGCCGGTACGACTCGACTGTCGGTGGGGCCGCTATATCGGGCCGCCGGCAGAAGGCCGCTGTCCCGGCGTGCTCCGCCCCGTGTCCGCGCTGTGTCCGTGTGCCGACCGGCCGGTGTGTGACGGCTGCAGCTCGCTCGGCGGCGGTCGCAGCTGCGCCGGCGCCCTGGCTCCAATCAATACCTGGTGCGGCCGGCCCGATCACATGCTCGCGGCCTGATCGAGGCGTGCCCGGCCCGGCGGCTGTTGTGTGCTGCGCCCGGCGGTCAGCAGGCACGGACGGACAGTGGGGAGGTGACCTGCTGGAGGCGCAGTTGCCCGGCGGAGGTCGGTAGTGCGGACGGCTCGAGTGGCAGGACGGTCACAGGCAGCTGGCGGAGGACTGGGGTCGACCGCAGAGGTGGGTACGGGAGCGCGGAGAACGCCGGCGCGCCAGCCAGCTCTTTGTCCTCGGCGGCTGACTCAGAGACTTTACTGGAGAGCTTTTTGCTTATTTGGTGTTACTTCAAGTGTTTTTTTTTAACATGTATGCAATTGTTTGTAGTTGTACCTACCGATGAAATTGTTTGATATGAGAAGCACCTGGCGCACAGTCGGTTTTGGGTGCCTTTCGATGTTCGGCGAATTTTTCATTTTAAAGGCAATAAGGGTAAATTTTATGCGTAATGAAAAAAGTGCAAAAAAGTTGACACGCTGTAGTCAGAGGTGTGCATGGATAAAAATTGGGCATGGGATCCGATCCCACGGATCTAATCTCAGTATTTCCCAATATTTTCCACGGAGAGTATAAGCAATGCTATATTGATGTGATTTACTTAAATCGATTTTATGACTATTCGGAAAAAAATTACAGGTCTTCGCTGCATTTACTTTCTCAACCTGTCTAGTTTCATAAACTCGCCCGAAATGATATAAGACTATCTCAAGCATATGGAGTCGCGTCTTCATAAATACTCCTTGCGAGGTTTGTTGCTCCACTACGTTTTTGGCCTTGAGTGACGTCACACTAAGGTCATCGGAGTTTTTTTTTTGTCAATAACTCGCACCTAATCCGAGTTAGCGAGCCAGGAAAGCCACCACTGGACTCGGGAAGACCTGCCAAATCCAATGATGATATGCTGCAGATGGCCTTCCCCGACCAACTCCGTGACCAGACTCAGAGGCGGATCCAGCTCAGAGTTGGGGGGGGGGGGCAAACCATAACAATTTATCGATTCTTTCCATGCATCGTCCATAGGCGTAGTGTTAAAATCATGCCGTTTGGGGGGGGGTGGGGCAAATGCCCATTTTGCCCCTCCCCTGGATCCGCCACTGACCAGACTGACTTTGGCCTGACCTGGAACTGAGATCAACACTGTTACTGGACCTCACCCAAACTAAAAACATAGCATTCGACGCGCCTGGCCATTACTAACACGATGGTGTTAAAATTGTGTTTTTTTAACATTTTTGGCCAAGATATTAGTTAAAAACCAATCCCTACCTCAAGACACTTGACCTGACCTCAGAAGTCCCCGGACCCCGGTTGACATTAGACCTTAAGATCTACATAACGTGCCAGTCGTCGCGTCTCGTAACGGCGAATAGACTCTTTTTCCGCCGGCGAGGCTATAGCAATAATTCTGACTAAGATGGGATCTTCGTCAATAAATGAGAATTGGCAGCAATTGAACCTAATAAAACTGTTATTTTTTTGTCAACAATATAACAGGGTCGCCGACTTCTACATTTAATTTTTCGTCATCTGCATGGACTGATTGATATTCGTTTCCTTACATCCATTACATGAGTCGCATCACGTTTTATGTTTATGGTTAATGCGAGCTCTTCTGTGTGTGCTTGTCTCGCAAGTGCCGGCACCATCTGGCCCGAGAGAGCTGTAATCGGTGCCGAGCACCTGTGCTGTGCGATCACACGCGCCCCTCCCACCTGCCGCGCTCCGCTCCCAACAGCCGCTCCCGTCCGAGCTACTGTGCCCCTCCCAACAGCCGCGCCCCTCCCAACTGCCGCGCTCCGCTCCTCTCCTCTGCGCTCTCCTCTCCTCTCCTCTCCTCTCCTCCTCTCCTCTCCTCTCCTCTCCTCTCCTCTCCTCTCCTCTCCGCTCCTCTGCGCTCTCGGTGCCGGGCGCGGCCCCCACAGCTGCACGGGCCCATCGCGCGGCATATCACACTATACGAGTATAGCGGTATAAGGGGAGAGCGCAGTCGATCTCCACTGCCGGCGAAAATGTCGCGGCATCTGTCTCCACTGCAGTAACCAATAACCATGTTGGGTTCGGATGACGCCGTCCCTGTGATGATTTTGCTACCAGCGACTGATGTGGCTTCGTAGCCCCGGCTATGTGTCTGATAATGGGCAGAGGGTCAGCTGGACGGCGTTTGCAAGGCGCGAAAGGTCATCTGACACCCCCCTCCCTCAGCTCTTTAACCTGAAATTAATGCTTCTCAAAATATTTGCTGTTGCACCATTATTTTTTTTAACGTACCGCAAATTTTGCAGGAATTAGTGTGATCGGTTAGTTGCTCGCTTATTTATTTTGCAAACCATTCGTGTTTCAATCTTGCCACGAAAATAGTCTGCTTCGCTGTTGATTCAAAATATGAGGGGTACCTGAACCATAAACCTGCAGCAAGACTCAACCTTGGCTTCCGCTGTCCGATACCTGGGTCGGAATGGCATCCATGCGTGAGCATCATTTTGACGCACGATTTGATGCGCGCTGGGTGTTTTCAATGAGCAGTATGGAGTCTGCGGCTGTTCGGATGCGCGCCGCGCTGGATTTCGTCCAGGTCGTGTCGGAAATGGCTCACGTCTATTCCGATAGCGGCCAGCGGATGGACTGAGGCGGTTCGGTCGGGTGGAGACTGTAGAGTGTAGAGCAGGACGTCCTCCCTCCGCTCCGGTATCCGCCGTACCCGGGACCGTGGCCTGCAGTTGAGCGCAGCGCCTGTCAGGGGGCCGGCCCACTGCGCAGCGCCCCCTCCCCTCCCCGCGGCGCGGGCCGGGCCGGACCGGCCGGCCCGGGCCGGGCGCCTCGGTCGGTCGGTCCGCTGTGGCGCGCCAGTCGGCGCCGCCGTGTGGTGGGCGTGGGTCGGAGCACGGCACAGTGACACCAGCGCGGCCGCCGCCGAACAGTGACGCCGTGCCCTGCCGGGGTCACAGAGTAGCAGCGACCTTTCGCCAGCTGGGGAAGGGATTGTACGGCCATCATGAGGTAATTGGTAAACGTTGTGATTCCGGCAGGTAACTGTCATTAGTCATGTCATCAGCTGGTTAACTATAGTTCCGCTGTGTTCGCTCCATGTTCACATGGGAGGTGTGGTGTCTGATGCTAGCGGGCTGCTATTTGATGATGATGACATATGCTGAGAGCAATTTAGCGAAGCGCTCCCCAATGCCCATTGAACATTCGACTTCAATCTGCGAAGGATAATATGCAATTGTATAGTGCATACATATGTATATCGCCTCTATTTTTGTGTGTGTGTTTTGTCTCTCTACGGTTTTATGGTCTTCCTTCTCAGTATGTCTATCTAATTCTTAGTTTCCTCGTTTATCTTTTTCACGGTAGGTACCTATGTATGCATTACAGAACACCGCAAGTTCCATCTCAGGGACATCCTGCCGCTGCCGCGAACAGATTTAGGTCTGTTCCTGACTGACTTGTGTGACAAACTGGGGTCTCAGTGACATCCTGCCGCAATAGATTTAGGTCTGTTCCCAACTGACTTGTGTGACGAACTGGGGTCTCGGGGACATCCTGCCGCTGCCGCGAACAGATGCTTGTCTGAGAACTGGCGTCTCCCGGCGACTGACAGCCCCCCGCCGCCCCGACTGACATTGCCTTTCCCCCAGACTGACGCCGTCTCCCCCTCCCCTCCATCTGACACCCCTCTTCTGACAACCCCCCCCCCCCTCTGTGTGTCAGCAGTGAGAGGAAGAAGCGCGGCATGCCGCTCCACCAGGTCAGCATAGAGTCGCCGGGACCCACCATGAAGGGGTGCGTCTTCAACTTCGACGTGCCCATGCCGGAGGTGCCGCCCTCCGGCGCCCGGATCAGGGTGAGTCGCAGCGGCGCCCTCCGGAGCCCGGGTCAGGGTGAGGTGTGGCCGGCGCCTTCCGGAGTCCGAATCAGGGTGAGTCGAGTCCCAGCGGCAACCTCCGGAGCCTGGGTCAGGGTGAGGTGTGGGGCCGGCACCCTCCGGAGCCCGGGTCAGGGTGAGTCGAGTCCCAGCGGCGCCCTCCGGAGCCCGGGTCAGGGTGAGTCGAGTCCCAGCGGCGCCCTCCGGAGCCCGGGTCAGGGTGAGTCGAGTCTCAGCGGCGCCCTCCGGAGCCCGAATCAGGGTGAGTCTGAGCGGCGCCCTCCGGAGCCCGGGTCAGGGTGAGTCGAGTCCCAACGGCGCCCTCCGGAGCCCGGGTCAGGGTGAGTCGAGTCGCAGCGGCGCCCTCCGGAGCCCGGATCAGGGTGAGTCGCAGCGGCGCCCTCCGGAGCCCGGATCAGGGTGAGTCGAGTCCCAGCGGCGCCCTCGGGAGCCCGGATCAGGGTGGGTGAGTCCCAGCGTCGCCCTCCGGCGCCCGGATCAGGGTGAGTCTGAGCGGCGCCTGGCTGGGTGCCCTCGGGGCCCCTGTAGTGGCCCACACCCGAGCCGGAGGGTGTCACTCAACCAAGGCAGACATGTATTTTTGTTGAATTATGCGGCAGGCGTACATACATATGTAGGTGGTAGCTGCCACTGCTGAACGTCTTGCTGGCTTGGTTTTCACGCTTGACACGATATGCTCAGATGCTTAGTCTGGAGTTGGTAGGTCAGAATCAAATTGAAATTTGGAGTCACTACTGACTGAATACCGATGACGACCCATTAGTAGTGTTGAGTAGTGGACACTGGACAGCGGACACCCCTGCTCCTGTGGTTGCTGATTTAACCCGCGCACCGACGGGGGGGGGGGGGGGCGGATATCCGCCCCCCTTGAGGTTTTTCGCGAATAGCGGGAAAACCGGAAATTTGGTATGACTATAACCTCATCAATTTTACACATGGTGTGCAAGTTTGAACTTCCTACCTTTTAAGGTCAGGTCACCAGGTCACTTTGAATGACCCAGCCTCAAGTCACTTTTTTGCAACTTTGTCACCGTGCCACAGCTACAGTAGATTTCGGAGGCCTTTGAAAGTCGCAGGATATTACTAGGTCATTAGTAGCTACAATTTGTATATCTCGGAATTTTGATATCGGTGACCTAAGGTCAGGTCAATTTCGCGACCTCCCCATTATAAGTCAATGGGGGAAAAATCAACTCCCTGTTTTTACCACTAAAACGGGTCGGAATGGCCCCATATACTTTACATGACTTCATATACGATCAACCTTCACTACCTTGAGGTCTGTTTTGCTGTTGGGCAGCTGTGAGGTCATGTGACGTCATCAAAGGTCACCAAAGGGTTTTGGCCAATAACTCCGTACAGGAACAAGATACAGACGCGTGGATGGTCTCATTGTGTTCAGCTCGTCAAGACGCATCGAATGATATACATGATGACCTCGAGGTCACGCGACCTGAGGTCAACCTTTGACCTTGACCTTTCGAGGTCAACATATATATCATTCGATGCGGATTGACGAGAGGATCACGATGATGCCCTTAGTGTGTTCCTATCTTGACTAATTCGAAAGTTATTCGAGAAAAACTCTCCATATCTAGCGCCGCCATTTTGACTTTTTCGACCCCTGTGACGTCATCTTTGACCTGACCTGAAAATGACCTTTGTAAAAATTGTAGATCTTGGCCGTGCGTATCCGATGCCGTTTACCGCTTGTCGCTATCTTGCTTCGTTCTCGAGATCTCAGGGGGGGGGGCGGTCATCCGCCCCCCCCCCGTCGGTGCGAAGTTGGCGCAGACCCCCGTCGGTGCGCGGGTTAACCTACGTATTTAACGGCTTATTTGATGACTGAATTTTCATTCATTAATATTGACTTATTTTGCGTAAAGCGCAAATAATAACAAGCGTCACACTAAGATGGATTTGATAAAATCCCAGAACTTTAAATTTTGTTTAACTCTGATCTGATCCATAATTCACAGCTCTGCAGGCAAACCTAATGAAAGGAATGAGCAGGGCTGTGAAAAGTGCATTGGGCAATGAGCGGGATGTTATGTGTTGCATCAGCCAGTGCGGCCGACATGAGCCGCCAATAAACACACGCTCGGCTTGCATCGAATTTACCGCCTCTTCTCAGTACTTTTGTGAACTGGATTTGCGTAATGTTATTTTTGCTTTTTATAGAAAACTGTCTCTTATTGAATCTTCCGTATCAATATTTTTGTTCGGTGCGGTCGTATCGTCTGCGGAGGTGTGGCAGGCGCAGCCCTCCGGCCAGTCAGCTCCGGGTATGCTGCGCAGACGCCGCGAGCCGACGGACGCCGCACCGGCCCGGCCCGGTCCGTCCCGGTCCGCCGGCGGCCGGGCGATGTGGCCTGCACTGTGCACTGTGCACTGTGCACGTGTCGCCCACTCGCGAGATGCACCGACCATGGCGCAAATCAAGGTCACACGGCGGCAGACGCTCCCTCGCTGAGCCTCCCTCCCTGTGACGACGGACACAGCGGACACAGCGCACACAGCGGGCACAGCGTACACTGACAGACACAGGGGACACAACGGGTACAGGGGACACAACGGATACAGCGGACACGGGGGACGCGGACGGTGGACGGTGGATTGTGGACGGACGGTGGACGGTTGATTATGGACGGACGGTGGACGGTTGCTTGTGGACGGCGGACGTATGACAGGACGACTCTCTCGGCCGCTATGGCAGTAGCTGAAGCTGGAGCCGGGCTTCCGGCGCCCGCAGCCTGCCGTGCCCGGAGCTGGGCTTCCGGCGCCCGCAGCTTGACGTGCCCGGAGCTGGGCTTCCGGCGCCCGCAGCTTGCCGCGCCCGGAGCTGGGCTTCCGGCGCCCGCAGGCCGCAGCCTACCGCTCCCGGAGCTGGGCTTCCGGCGCCCGCAGCTTGCCGTGCCCGCTCGCCGGCCGCTGTCGCCGGGCGGCCTGTGCACTCCGTGGCGTGACGTCATCAGATTGGCTGTGGACCGTGTACCGCCGGCGTCGGGCGTCGACTGCAGCGTGGGAGCGGCTCAGGCTGGGTTCGCTGTCAGGAGAGGTGCGCAGGGCACGGCGGCAATGGATGGCGGCCCACAGGCGACAACTGGCCGGTGGACTGCGGCAACGGCGGGCGGACGGCAGAGTATCCCTCCGACCCCACCCACGGGGCGATATAACGGCTGCAGGGTGGGCTGTGTGTGTACCTATACTGCCCACTGCGGGCGGGGCCGGGCTCAGACCCGACGGGACGCGATGACGGCGACCTGGGCAAACTGTCGATATAGTTAGCTGTCGCCGAGCTGGACTTTGGTCTAAACAGGATTCATATACGCTGCAGCTAGAATAGGTATGCTTCCTTGCTTCTTCCCTTGCTTATTCGAACTCCAGGTGCCCTGGGTGGTGCTAAGGCCCCTGTCACACATCAACTGCTGCAGCCTCACCCTATTTATGAGAGCGAGGCGTTCCTTCTGCGAATATAGGAGGAGGTGGTGTCAGTCCCGGCGCCATGGCCGGCGTCTTTGGAGGCGGGCCAGAGAGGTCGTTTGGCAGTGGGCGCCGTGCGTCCGTCGGTGTCTCTGACATGAGCCCGCGGTCATGACGCTCGGGCCCAGCTTCAGCCATGCTAACTCAACTCGGTCACCGACAGAGGCGGCCGCTGACCTCCGTCCGCAAACGGCTGTCTCGCCAGTCACTGGTCTCATGGACTCTCGCCCCGCAAACATTTTACCATGCGTAGATTCCAACATCCACATATTATATTTTCAACTTGTTCAAAATTATTGTTAATCAGAGCAAAATGATCTCAGCAGTAGACGCACTGAAGTTCATAGCGCGCTGGCTGCTGAGTTTTCCATCCGGTCCCTTCTCAGGTGCACAGGTGTATACGCGCAGTTGTGCACTACAGTGGCGAGTTTTCCCTCCGGTCAGTTACCGAACGCTTGCCACCGTGCTGAGTTTCTTTTTCCGGTGTTTTCCCCCAGGTGATGTGTGCCGGCGTGTGCTACCGTGCTGAGTTTCTTTTCCCTGTGCTTTGCCCGCAGGTGATGTGTGCCGGCGTGTGCTACCGCTCGAAGCGCTCCATGTCGATCAACAGCGGCGCATCGCTTTCCTCGATCGGCTCCGACCACTCGAGCTGCAGCAACAAGGGCGTGCGCGACACGTCGCTGTTCCCCGGTGGGTGTGCGCGACACTATACTGTTCCCCGGTGGGTGTGCGCGACACGTCGCTGTTCCCCGGTGGGTGTGCGCGACACGTCGCTGTTCCCCGGTGGGTGTGTGCGACACGTCACTGTTCCCCGGTGGGTGTGCGCGACACGTCGCTGTTCCCCGGTGGGTGTGCGCGACACGTCGCTGTTCCCCGTTGGGTGTGCGCGACACGTCACTGTTCCCCGGTGGGTGTGCGCGACACGTCACTGTTCCCCGGTGGGTGTGCGCAACACGTCACTGTTTCCCGGTGGGTGTGTGCGACACGTCACTGTTCCCCGGTGGGTGTGCGCGACACTATACTGTTCCCCGGTGGGTGTACACGTCGCTGTTCCCCGGTGGGTGTGCGCGACACGTCGCTGTTCCCCGGTGGGTGTGCGCGACACGTCACTGTTCCCCGGTGGGTGTCTGGGGACACGTCACTGTTCCCCGGTGGGTGTGCGCGACACGTCGCTGTTCCCCGGTGGGTGTGCGCGACACGTCGCTGTTCCCCGGTGGGTGTGCGCGACACGTCGCTGTTCCCCGGTGGGTGTGCGCGACACGTCGCTGTTCCCCGGTGGGTGTGCGCGACACGTCACTGTTCCCCGGTGGGTGTGTGCGACACGTCACTGTTCCCCGGTGGGTGTGCGCGACACTATACTGTTCCCCGGTGGGTGTCTGGGGACACGTCTCTGTTGATTGTTCCCGGTGGGTGCCTGGAACTGGAAGTGACGCTGGGAAGCCACGTTTGAATCAGAAGTATCAAAATCTGTTTCTCGTGAATCGGATCAGCCGTTAACAATGACGAGCTCAGGTGCTATAGGACACCGGGCGCCTGCATTTTATCATGTCTGGGATGTTACTAGCTCTTACCAATATGTCCACTCACCCCGTCTGGGACGTCCCTGACCAGTGGCGGTGTGGCGCTGCGGGGCGTTGACCGTTGGCCGGGTCACTGGGAACGTGCTGAGTCCCTGGCACAGTAAACTATGTAAACGCGTTACGTTACACACACGTCTGGCCATTGCTCAGTTTCCGGCGTAATTTTAGTAAATGTCTTCTCCCCTCGACCTTCTGGCGATTAATGTGCCGAATCGGGCCGCGCTGGACTATTGCTGTTGGCTCACGTCCTACAACTTGTTTGACCTAAGATTTAGGCAGCCACCATCCATTTTAAAACAACTTAACAATGATAAACCCAAATACGAAATACGATATATATGTAGACTTGTTTTTGACATTTGTACAGATAAGTGCAATACTTGTTATTGTAATGTTTGACTAGTTGACCTACAGTTTGACTAGTTGACCTGTAATATGCATGCGATGTATGTTGAACACTGAGATGCCAGTTTCCCTAGCTACCAGTCTTTTCTATAGGCCCTATCAGCTATGGTTATGTATTGGCAGGCGCTAGCTGCTAAAACGCGTGATAACAACCCTCTGAGACGACCTACGGATGATTGTGCGGCACGGCTCGGTAATGAACGCCGGCCTTGTGTTGCAGGTTTCGAGGTTGCCGGTCAGATTGAGAGCTTCGGTGAAAATGTGGATCCGAAATGTGGTCTGAAGGTCGGCGACAATGTCATTGTGTACCCGTACATAGGATGTCCCGAAGGGTGAGTGACAATGTGCATTTTTTTGCAGTTATTTGCTGTTTATCACCAATGAAAAAAATACTTATATAACCTTGATAACTTAACGGCTTTATTCATTCACCACGCCGTTCTAAGAAATGTCTAGGATGACTATGAGATGACCGTGAAGGCTGTGTTTCTGATAACAAAGCGAGCACGTTTCTCGGCGAAACGCTGCTCTGATGGGTCTGTACCTGGGTGAGCTCCCTCCCAAGGCGAGGGTGACAGAGGCCCTCTGACTGCCCTCTATCTGTCCCTCTGACTGTCCCTCTGTCTGTCCCTCTGTCTGTCCCTCTGTCTGTCCCTCTGTCTGTCCCTCTGACTGTCCTCTGTCTGTCCCTCTGACGGTCCTCTGTCTGTCCCTCTGACGGTCCTCTGTCTGTCCCTCTGACGGTCCTCTGTCTGTCCCTCTGACGGTCCTCTGACTGCCCTCTGACGGTCCTCTGTCTGTCCCTCTGACTGTCCCTCTGTCTGTCCCTCTGACGGTCCTCTGACGGTCATCTGACTGTCCTCTGACTGTCCCTCTGACGGTCCTCTGACGGTCCTCTGACTATCCTCTGACGGTCCTCTGACGGTCCTCTGACTATCCTCTGACGGTCCTCTGACGGTCCTCTGACGGTCCCTCTGACGGTCCTCTGTCTGCCCTCTGTCTGTCCTCTGACTGTCCCTCTGACTGTCCTCTGACTGTCCCTCTGACTGTCCCTCTGACTGCCCTCTGTCTGTCCTCTGACTGTCCCTCTGACTGTCCTCTGACTGTCCCTCTGACTGTCCCTCTGTCTGTCCCTCTGTCTGTCCCTCTGACTGTCCCTCTGTCTGTCCCTCTGACTGTCCCTCTGACGGTCCCTCTGTCTGTCCTCTGTCTGTCCTCTGTCTGTCCCTCTGACAGTCCTCTGACGGTCCTCTGACGCCCCCCCCCCCGCCGCCGACTCCCGACAGGTACGCCGAGTACGTGGCCGTCGAGGACGTCCAGTACCTGGTCAAGGTGCCGGACGAGGTACCCATGCCGGTGGCCTCCATGCTGCCCAGCGGCGGCCTGTGGGCCATGAACTCTGTGTTCACCGCCAGACAATACGTCGAGAAGCTGCTGAAAGAGCGCGGCGACAAAGGTAACTACACACAGAGCTGTAGCTGTCTGCTCTCATCCTGACGGCTCTGTCCTTGAAAGCTGTGGGATATAGAAGTCTCTGGCTTTCTGGTTACATGAACTCATTCTCTAGTGTGCCGACGTGCGGTTAGTGTATCAATCCCGGTGAAGTCGTCGAGACGAGTGCTAAAAATCGCCTCCGTGAGGTATCTGTCCGATTATCGAGGAATGCAGCAGCGTAGCCATCGTGATATGCGATGGCTCGCAGTTCCTTCCTGGCGGCAGCTTATGTGGGTCTGTGCCACCTTTTCGAGGTCGTAGCCGTCACATTCTGGGATAGGCTTTTCCGTCTGATTTGCGGAGGGCACCGGGTGGTCAGTCGAGACGTCCTGTCTGGGCGGGCTGGGCTGGTTGCTGGTTGGACTGCCAGGCCCACCTAACCCTGTCTCCCGGCCCGATGTGCCAGAGAGGTCATGGCGAGCCACAAATAGGTGGCCGGCGCGAGACCCTGCCGGCCCTGCCACCCGGTGACAGGGCGCCCGCACGCCCCGTGACAGGCGAGCTAAATCAGGCCGGCGGCCGGCGCGACGGCCTGTCCTGGACCCTGCGCCGATCGGGGCCCAACGACAAGCCGGCCTCAGATGCTCAGTACTTATTTGACCTTTCCCGTTCGGTGGCGTTAGTTTAGTACACCAGTGGTATTGTGAGATTCGGCCTTTTAAACTTTAAACAAGTTCTACTGGTGCTGGTGGTTAAAATCCGATCTGAAAATATGGTCTGCACTATCCGAGCTGTCGTTTCCCGGCCACTGTCGAATCGTCTCTCACGGAGGGTGATAGAGGCGTGCTTCTGTCGCCAACACTGTGTCAGCTATGGCTGATTTCGGGAAGACACTGGCACGATTCGCTGTAGCGTTCTGTCGGGGTCTGGTTGAGTTTGGCTGATGCAGATTGGTATCCAGGGTGCTGATCGGTGGGGGACCGGAGGTCCCCACCGATCAGCACCCCGATCAGCTCCTGTTCCCCCGGCGGGACCCGCAGGTCCGTCAGCTCCTGTTACCCCGGCGGGACCCGGAGGTCCGTCAGCTCCTGTTCCCCCGGCGGGACCCGGAGGTCCGTCAGCTCCTGTTCCCCCGGCGAGACCCGCAGGTCCGTCAGCTCCTGTTCCCCCGGCGGGACCCGCAGGTCCGTCAGCTCCTGTTCCCCCGGCGGGACCCGCAGGTCCGTCAGCTCCTGTTCCCCCGGCGGGACCCGGAGGTCAGTCAGCTCCTGTTCCCCCGGCGGGACCCAGAGGTCCGTCAGCTCCTGTTCCCCCGGCGGGACCCGGAGGTCAGTCAGCTCCTGTTCCCCCGGCGGGACCCGGAGGTCCGTCAGCTCCTGTTCCCCCGGCGGGACCCGGAGGTCAGTCAGCTCCTGTTCCCCCGGCGGGACCCAGAGGTCCGTCAGCTCCTGTTTCATCCAACTTGTGGACCCGGAAGCCATTCAGTCACGTCAAGAACCGGCCGCTGTTGTGTGCGTGAGGTCCGGGTTATGGGTATAGGGCTCCCTCCCAAGCCACATGGTTTCCGGCTAGGCAGGCCGCTCCAGACCACCTGTTCCCTGGTTCAGCCCCACCGGCGGGCCGCCGCCTCGTCAGACAAGACAAGGACCTGTTCGTTACCCAGGACTCCTGAGTCATGTAGATACTAGGTACCCTCCACCTTGCAGGCTGTTCGCCGGTCCCTGTGTGACAAAGCTGACGTGCTAGGGTCGCCTTTAACAGTGTTTGTTTTTTCTTCCATTTTCATTACGTCGTTTCATTGTCAGGAGATTTTGTCCTCGACTGAGCATCGACTGAGCAGTTGGTGAGAGTAGCATCAGACCCTTCGGTCATCAGCCCGTTCTTTCCTGGACGGACGGGCCGGTGTCGCTGACCCCGCGCCCCACCTGCCATGTCGGCCGTCGCTGGGTGTAAATATGTGTGGGTGTTTATATGGTGTTTGTTTGTATGCTGTGTGTTTGTATATTGTGTTTGGTGCACCCTCGGCAGGCAAGGTGAACGTTCTGGTGGTGGGCACGGGCGGCCTGGCGCTCTGGGCGATCCGGATCGGGCGCCACTACTTCCCCGAGTGGACCGAGGGCCAGGCGGTGCGACTGACTGTGGCGGTGCTGCGTGACGAGGGCCTGCAGAGCATCACCGAGCAGGAGCACCAAAAGTGAGTGGGCGCCGCGACCCGCTGCACCGGCGGCCCCACTGACCTGACACCACCGTCCCCGACAGCTGCTCTAACCGTATATACTGACTGACGGCTGGCCAAAGTCGGGAGTCGCACTGACCTGCGCTGAACCGACCCGCGTTCTACACACCGAGGGCCGAGGGGCCTAGTGGGGCTGGTACGAACCCCTCGTCATTTCGCAAATGATTTAGATGGGGCTTCGTGGAAAAGAGAGGATGTCTGCCGTTACGAGGCGCAGCGACGGGTACCAAATTTTAAGCTTTAAGACCACTCACGGGCGTAGGAACGTCATGAAAAGTGGGTGGGCCACCCTGTCAAGGGGCCTCCTTTTCCAGGGGGCCTCCTATTTTCAGGGGCCTCCAACCTTTTCCTCGTCCTGCTGGCTGCTTTCAAGTATGACCTCCAAATCTAGCTTCTGAGATCGGGCAGATGTACCCAGGGGCGTAACCGCTTAAGCGAACAGTGCGGAAAGTCGGCACCATTTTTAAAACTTATTCCCCCTCCGATTTTTTTTTAGAATCTATTTGCCGCAAACGGCGCATGACCCCTGAAAACCCTTGTACAAATGTCTTCCTCGTTTCCCAGGTGCCCCCATTAGCTTCATAGGCGCCCTCTTTGGCATATAAGCGCCCTATGTATAGTCATCAGAGACATCCCTATATGTCCCACAGTCCCACAGTTGTCGCATACAATGTGCGCTTATCATAGGCGTCTATCTTTTATGGGCACTTGAAGGCGCCTCCCTTTGCCATGCCGGCGCCCTTGTTTCTTACGAATGCACCCCCGTCCCCCATGGCATTGATCATTGATCAATTGCAGTCGCAGACCTCTATTGCATGTGGACGCCCATATATATGTATGTAGGTAGGCCTCAGAGGCACCCCTCTTTCGCATTGAGGCGCCCGCTATGGGCTTCATAGGCGCCCCTCTATTGCACGTAGGTGCCCTACTGTCTCAGAACCGCTCCCCTTTGGCATGCAGACGCCCATCTTTCGACGGAGGAGCCGCTGTGGTTCTTAGAGACGGCATGTTGCTCCCAGACGCAGATGGGGCTCTCGGAGTCGACAGTGTGGGACCTTCAGTCGCTGACGGGTGCCCGCCAGATGTGGACCCTCGGAGACGCCGGTATGGGGCCCTCAGAGATGCCGGTATGTGGCTCTTAGAGACACCGGTGTGGAACCCCCAGATACTTCAGTGTGAAGTCCTTACAATTGCTGGTGTGGAGCTATGAATGCGCTGGCTTAAATCCCTCAGAGGCCGGTACATGGACATTAAAGCTCAGTGAGAGCTTGTGTGGTGCCTTCAGTGGCCTTGTGGAGCCGTTAGACATCAACATAGTGCTCTCAGGAGCCGGTGCAAGTCCTCAGAGTCACCGGTGTGGGGCCTTCAGAGCTCCGAGATACTGGTGTGGGGCCCTTAGAGGTGTCGGTGTGGGTCCTTCAGATGTACCTATAGAGCCTTGAGATGCACAGGTGTGGTGGCCCACAGAGGCGCCGGTGTGGGGTCCCCAGAGCCACCGATATAGGGCCCTAAGAGACACTAGTATGACCCTCAAAGGCGCCGCTGTGTGGCGCTCATAAACACTGGTGTGGAGCCATCACAGGCGGGTGGAGCCGTTAGAGGCCGGAAGGGGCCCTTAGATGCCTACAAGGAGCCTTCAGAAGCCGGCGTGGCACCCTTATGGGGATAAGCGTGTCTACTTAGGAGCCCTTGAGGTGCTCTCATGAGCTCTGTGGGGCCCTACCGAGCCGAAATATGGCCACGGCCAGTTGCCGCCGCATGGCTCTTCGGACTATCATTCTCAGGGGCCTCATCTGCCTAGTTTGAATAGAAGGGCCTCTCAGACAATCAGTCTCATGGGCCTCCTCTGGCTAGTATAAATAGAAGGGCCTGTTGTCTTCTGGTTAGTATAAATAGAATAGCCTCTCAGACCATTAATCTCAGGGGGCTCCTGTGGACAGTATAAATAAAAGGGCCTCTCAGACCATCAGTCTCGGGGGCCTCCCTAGAAAAGTGTAAATGTGGATAGAGGGCCCCCTCAGATTCATTAGGAGTGGACCTCTCTGACTATCAGTCTCAGGGGCCTCTTGTGGCCAGTATGAATATACCTAAGAGCCTCTCAGACCATCGGTCTCAGGGGCCTCTTCTGACTAGTTTGGATAGAGGGCCCTCCCAGACCACCGGTTTCAGGGGCCTCCAGTGGCCAGTTATGTGAACAGAAGGGCCTCACAGCCATCAGCCTCGGGGGCCTCTTCTGACTGGTGTGAATATGAGGGCCTCTTATACCATCAGTCTCAGGGGCCTCCTCTGCCTAGTGTGAATATAAGGGTTTCCCAGGCCATCAGTCTCAGGGGACTCTTCTGACTGGTGCCGGATTGAGGGACCTCCCAGACCGAAAGTTTTGGGGGTCTCAAGTGGCCAGTATGAATAGAAGGGCCTCTCAATCCATCAGTCTCATGGGCCTCTTCTGCCTGGTGTGATTATAAGGGCCTCTCAGGTCATCAGTCTCAGGGGCCTCCTCTGGCTACAGTGTAGATGGATAGGCCTACCAGACCATCAGTCTCAGGGGCCTCTTCTGACTATTGAGGATAGAGGGGCCTCCTCTGACTAGTGAGGGTAGGGGGCCTCGGCTAGACCGCCAGTGTCAGGGGCCTATTCTGACAAGTGTGGATGGAGGGGCCTCCCAGATCACCAGTCTCAGACCTCTGACTAGTGTGGATATTGGGGCCTCCTCAGATCCACTAGGGCCTCTCAGGCCATCAGTCTCAGGGGCTTCGACTGACAAGTATGAACAGAGGGCCTCCTTGGATCCATCACGGCCCCTTGGAGTCCGTGCGTGGGGATTCGTGGAACTTATTTCTACCGAGTTTGTTTATTCTGGAAGGTGACGACGTCCTCTCAAATCGAGACGAGGGGCCTCGAGTAAAAAGTGGGTGGGCCAAAACACATGGTTGGCCCCCCACCTCGAAAAGTGGGTGGGCACTTGCCCACCTGCCCCCCCCCCCCCTGTTCCTACGCCTATGACTAACCACCAGAGGTCAGGTATACCGGCTTTCAACTCGAGCTTTGAACCTTTTCGTACGCAGAAATTGCGAAAACCATCACGGGGCTATCACCAAGCCCCCCCCCCCCGTGGGGATGGATAAGTTTGTGTCAGAGGTCCATGATTCAACTTTTCTGGTTGTGCTGACTACTGTGTTGATCCGCCGGGATCCTGATGCAGGTTATAGCTGTCCCAGGTGTTCGATCGCTGAGTTGATGGTGTTCCCGGCGGCTGGCTGTGCTCTGTTCGGACGCTGGTTGCTGATGCTGTTTTCGGTTGTCCTGTGCTCTGTTCAGCCGCCCTTTATACTGATGGTGTTTTCGGCTGTGTTGTGTTCGGCCGCCCTTTGCTGATGCTGTTTTCGGCTGTGTTGTGTTCGACCGCCCGTTGATGATGCTGTTTTCGGTTGTCCTGTGCTCTGTTCGCGCCGCCCCTTGCTGATGGTGTTTTCGGCTGTGTTGTGTTCGGCCGCCCGTTGCTGATGCTGTTTTCGGTTGTCCTGTGCTCTGTTCGCGCCGCCCTATACTGATGGTGTTTTCGGCTGTGTTGTGTTCGGCCGCCCGTTGATGATGCTGTTTTCGGTTGTCCTGTGTTTTGTTCGGCCGCCCGTTGATGATGCTGTTTTCGGCTGTGTTGTGTTCGGCCGCCCGTTGATGATGCTGTTTTCGGCTGTGTTGTGTTCGGCCGCCCGTTGATGATGCTGTTTTCGGTTGTCACAGCGCCACCGACATGTCGGAGGAGCCCGGAATTCACGGCCGGTACGGCTGCAATGCGTTACCCCGCTGCGTTACCCCGCCGCGTTACCCCGCTGGGTTACCCTGCTGGGTTACCCCGCTGGGCTGGCCTCTAACAGCACCAGACCCACTAATCCGCGGAGGGCTCGATCGGTCGACCTCACTAACACACACCTAACGTCCAGCGTGTCTCCGGGATGCAGACTGTAGTTGCAGATAACGGATGGATGTCAATCATGGAGGCAGGGACGACATTTTTCCTTGTACATATATGCTTCATTCCTGGTAATTGGTGTACGTGTCGGTGTGACAGTTCCTGAATGTCATGCATAAAGTAGTGTCATTTGTAGTTATACGGCCTGACCGAAGTCCTTTGTTTTAACATTGAGTAGGCATTGTCCGTCCTTAGCTAACTCATGGCCCGTAGCTTTTCGGTGCTAACTTCCCTCGGGGCGTGTCTCCTTACCCGATTGTGGGACAGGCCGTCTCCGGCTTTGAAGGGCACGGTAAATGTTGTCATCTAAATTCTCCCGTTACCTATAATTGCGCGATCGGACGGCAGGGGTCGCAGTCTGCGCAACAAGCTCTGCTTAGCATGGGCTCCTGCTCTGTCAAACCGTCCATTCAAACATTCGAACTAAATTTATTAAAAACAATGTGAGGTTGGGCAACTTCTTAGTCTTCCCAAGAAATTCCCACCTATAAAATGTTAATTTTCGATTTGTGCTCAGTAAATACATGGAAATTGTGTCGACAAAATGTCTATACTTTGATGACGTCACTGGATGCAGCTGGTACTCCATGTCCTTACAATAGAACAATTGTAAGGACATTGAGTTAACGTGTCAACAAAACTGGGATGAGGGATCACTTTGTTTTTCAGTGTCACCGAGGTCAAAATCGAATAAGCGCTTCTGTCTATGTTAACTATAGGGGAGAGCGGGGAGAGTTGTATCATGTCCAAGTTGTATCTGGGCGAATTGTGCCAAACTTATCCAATGGATGGCGCTCGCGACACGACCAGCCGACGAGGTTTTCCGGGCGCCAACTTTCCCTGTTCTGTCTTGTGGCTGAGTGGACGCGTCTCGAGGTGAGAGCCGATTTTATGTTTTTTTAATGTCATTCTAAAAAATGAGTTGCAAGAAAATGTGTGTTTTGGGCATTTAGATGTGCACGAATTTGAAAGATCTCCGTAGCGGTGGTGAGGGTGGGTTCTAAGGCTGCGTGAGAGAAAACGGATTTCTCCAGCTGTCCGCTGTTTTTTGAGCAGGAGGATGTTTTTTCCAAGATGGCGGCGAAGTACATGTTGTATCAGAGCCGGGTGGGGTATGTTGTAACATGTATGTATGTATGTATGTATGTATGGGTATGTTGCTTTTCATCGCGAAAGCTAAGCCCTGGCTCGCGTTTGTAGGTAGCTAGTCAAGGCTCGTTCCATTTCGGCACAATGTGTTGGCTTCTTTGCTCTTAACGGGCCACTTTTGCGTCTAGTCTGTTGATGTTTCTTTCGGATTGCATTAACCTAAGTTTGGTCTAATAAAGTGAAGCCTTTGAGCATACCTACACATTGTATTAACCCCATTTAATGTTGTTGTTATGTTCAAAACCAGTAGCAAGCACACTCCCTGAAACGTGAAATAGTGATACAAATTACCCCACCATGTGATACAACTCACCCAAGCCATGGGGCAAGTTGTATTAAAAACATTGTTCTATTCGGGAGACCGTAGTAGAAAAACTGGTAGAGGTAGCGGAAAAGTTACTTTGCACAAAAAAGCAGAAGAATCAAGGAAGGGGATAGTATGGAAATAATGAGTTTATCACGGATAGTTACGAGGTTATGGGTCTCGGAGTAAAAACTGATACAACCCACCCCACTCTCCCCTACATGGTAGATAATGCAAGTTGCACAGGATGACATCATCACTGTTCTAATATTTAGTTCCAAAACGCACAGATGGAACTAATCGCTTGAAGGTTGACTTTTCCTCAACGCTTCTATTACTTCCCTGTCAAAAATGCGCTTTCGTGTTAAGTTTCACTATTTACGTTATCGGGGGGGGGGGGGGGGAGGGGTGTGTGTTCCGAGTTTCGCACGGGTGCCGGCTGGCGCCGCGTCCGAGCAGCGTTTGACCATCTCGCCGCCCCCGGCAGGGTGAACATCGTCCAGTGGAGCGAGGACTGCTACGAGACCCAGCTGATCGAGCGAACCATCAACGCCTGCGAGGGCAACGTCGACATCATCATCGACTTCGCTGCCAACCCGCGCTCCATGAACCGCTCCCTCAAGTGCCTATCCAAGGTGAGCTCCCTGAGCCGCTCCGTGAACCGCCCGGTGAACCACTCCATGAACCGCTCCATCAGGGCCTCGTTTCATAAAAGGAATTACTTACGGCGTTCCGTCAATTATGCCAGATTTGGCGTATTTGATGCCAATTCGGTTTCATAAAGCCGGAGACCGGAGTAATTCACGCCATCGAAAGTATGGAGCTTCATTTACGGCAAATGCTAGATTCCGGACCAATTGATGCCATTTGGGTTTCATAAAACGACGTAATTAACGCCAAATATTTTATCAAGCTCTTGATATCAGTGGTGTAAACTACGCACAAAAATGTTGCGTGATTTTGAATTAATGTGAAGATTCGAAGCTAATTTTTAATATATTTTATAATGTTGAGCCCGGTGAGGAAGAAAGAACAGCCAAAATGAGAAAAAGAAACTGCAAATCTTCTGTACCAGTCGCTTTTTGTGGCCACTATAGGAATTTTGTTTATTCGCCGCGCCGCGCCACTTTCGTAGTTAGGCACTTCTGCTTAGCTGGCTTTCTGCTGTTTTTAATATATTGTTTTAATAAAGGATGGTCATCAATATCAATTTTGTTTTTTTCATAAAATAATTTTTAAGATTTAAATTCAACATAATTGTTTTATAAATTCTCGTAAAAAATAAGTGTTGACATGAAATTGTAATTTGTAGGACGCTTGATAAATTACGGTAACTACGCAAATGTGCTTAGTTACGGAGGTGTAAACAATTCCAGTTGTGGCTTTGTGAAACGGATTTATTTGCGCTCCGTAGTTTGAAAGGGTGTGAATTACGGAAAAGTGTAAGTTACGGCAGAGCTTTATGAAACGAGGCCCAGGTGTCTATCCAAGGTGAGCTCCGTGAGCCGCTCCGTGAACCGTGAACCGCCCAGTGAACCGCTCCGTGAATCGCTCCATGAACTGTCCTCCCCGTGAACCGCTTCGTGAACTGCTTCCTCAGATGCCTGTCCAGCCATGAGAGCAGATCGCCCATCTAACCTGACATGATCTCATGAGTTGCGATCAGCTACAACCGTCCGTATGTTTGACTGCCGCCTATAAGCGTGTTGAATATCGTCTGTAAATGTGTTTTTGCGGCAGCAGGGTGGTGTGTAACTGTGTTTGTGTGGCGGCAGGGTGGTGTGTAACTGTGATTGTGCGGCGGCAGGGCGGTGTGTAACTGTGATTGTGCGACGGCAGGGCGGTGTGTCACTGTGTTTGTGTGGCGGCAGGGCGGTGTGTAACTGTGTTTGTGTGGCGGCAGGGTGGTGTGTAACTGTGTTTGTGCGGCGGCAGGGCGGTGTGTAACTGTGTTTGTGCGGCGGCAGGGCGGTGTGTAACTGTGTTTGTGCGGCGGCAGGGCGGTGTGATCGTGATCGGCGCCGAGACTGCCCAGCGCTACGTCAGCCGGTTCGAGAGCGTGGCGCAGGCCAGCGATCAGACCATCGTGCCCGTCGAGATGGGCTCCCTCGAGCAGCTGCACACACTCGTACATCTCATCGCCTCCAAAAAGGTAAATAACTAACGGCGCACCGACCCGGCAGACACCGCCAGGTGCTCATAATTAACCCGCGACCTGGTGGGGGGGGGGGGCTATTTTTTGCCCCACCCCCCTCCAGACTTTTCGCTATATCTCCAGAACTGCTGCGCCGATCGTCACCAAACTTTCAGTACCCTCCCGGACATCAATTTTACACATTGTGACCAAAAATTTTTCCAAAGGCTATGATAGGTTGGCCGGAAATGACGTCAGAGTGACGTCATGTTCTGCCGTTTTCGACCCAAAAAAGGGTTTCGCGGGAAGAGCTGTCAGGCCTATAGCTTTGCAAATACAGAAAAAATGATAAAACATAAAAGATGTAGAATCAACAGGGCTACAAAACTGCCATCTCGGATTTTTGAAATTTTTGGATTTTGACCCCCAAAAATCAAAAAGTAAATTTTTTGGATATAATAATCGAAAAATCCAAAAAGTTTTTTGAATTTCGCAAAAACCGGAATATATGTGATAGTCCTTACCGCCTTCCATCCACATACCAAATTTGAGATTGATACCTCTTTTTTTGGCGAAGTTATAGCGAAAAAACTGTTCAAAATTGATGACGTCAAATTTTCAAACTCAATTTTTAGCAATTATAGACCCCGTAGCGCAAAACAAAGACCACCATTAGACTCCCCGTGACGAGCGGCATCGAATCAATACCCATTTTATGCAAAACTATCAACTTTAAAATTTGACCTTTTTTGGCCTGACCTTGACCTGACCTTGACCTGAACTTCACCAGAAAGTGACCTAAGCCGTAGCTGATAGTCTTATAACCAACACCATTGAGTTGGAAATGAAAAATTGGCCATAAAACATGCATCACACAACCTTAGTAAAGTTGGGCTGACCCTTGGTGACCTGACCTGTGACCTGACCTGGTATTGTCAGTGACCTCTAATAGCAACATATCTACTAGGCAACTGACGCCCTATCGCTGATTCTCGACAAAATGCGTTTTCCTCGGTGTTATAGCGCATTTCCTAGAAGACCCGTGAACGGTGAAACATTTCATCTTTGACCTGACCTGTGACGTCATCGGTGACCCCGAGGTCAATGAAATTTGGTTTCCTTCGACAAATTTGACAGGCCTTTCGAACGCCGTTTGAATTTTGCGGATCCGTCCAGTAGTTTCGGAGATACGAGGGGGGGGGGCAAAAAATAGCCCCCCCCCCACCAGGTCGCGTTATAAACAGACCCCACCAGGGCGGTGGTTAATTGATGCTAGTAAATAATCTTATATTTTCATGCTTCGTTTACTTTTCATACATTATTTTGCTCGCGACTAAGCTTGTGTTTGTCTTTTGTGTATGACGTTTAAGCATCTTACGTGACTAATCATTACGGGGCTGCATCACCCCCTTGCCTGCCGAGCGTTTATTTCTACTGTCGTTACGGTACCACTGTCGTTACAGTACCACTGACGTTACGGTACCACTGTCTGCCCGGGCAGGTGGAGCCGCCCCCTTACAACCTGTTCCCGTCCGACAAGGCTGAGGAGGTCTTCATGAAGCTGGGCCGCGCCAAAATCCACGGCCGCGCCATCCTGCACTTTGACCCGATCCCGGACGCCCCGGAGACGTGAACTGCGCCGGAACACAGCGGAGACCCGCAGTTGTACGGCGGAGGCGCGGCGCCACCTGTGGACAGTTGTACGGCGGAGGCGCGGCGCCACCTGTGGACAGTGTCACGGCGGAGGTGCGGCGCCACCTGTGGACAGTTGCGCGGCGCCACCTGCGCAGTGTCCCGGCGGAGGCGCGGCGCTACCTGCGGACAGTTGTACGGCGCCACCTGCGGACAGTTGTACGGCGGAGGTGCGGCGCCACCTGTGGACAGTTGCGCGGCGCCACCTGTGGACAGTGTCCCGGCGGAGGCTCGGCGCCACCTGTGGACAGTGTCCCGGCGGAGCCGCGGCGCCACCTGTGGACAGTGTCCCGGCGGAGGCGCGGCGCCACCTGTGGACAGTTGTACGGCGGAGCCGCGGCGCCACCTGTGGGCAGTTGTACGGCGGAGGTGCGGCGCCGCCTGTGGACAGTTGTACGGCGCCACCTGTGGACAGTGTCCCGGCGGAGCCGCGGCGCCACCTGCGCAGTGTCACGGCGGAGGCTCGGCGCCACCTGCGCAGTGTCACGGCGGAGCCGCGGCGCCACCTGTGGGCAGTTGTACGGCGGAGGTGCGGCGCCGCCTGTGGACAGTTGTACGGCGCCACCTGTGGACAGTGTCCCGGCGGAGCCGCGGCGCCACCTGCGCAGTGTCACGGCGGAGGCTCGGCGCCACCTGCGCAGTGTCACGGCGGAGGCGCGGCGCCACCTGCACCCCGGCGCGGGCCGCTCAGCGGGACCGTGTGAGCGCCAGTGTTCAGCCTATGACCGAGTCGGAGGCTCCGCGGCCACCCCGCGCATGCAGGGTTTCCCGCAGGGACGGTGGTGTTCGCAATAATTTGTAGGAGCTGCTCGCCGGTGGTCGCCGGTGGTTGCCGGTCGCCGGTGGTCGCCGGTGGTCGCCGGTGGTCGCTGCTCGCCGGTGGCAGCGATCCGCACTGTGCGCCCGACTGTAGGAGCCGCAGAGGTGGACCGCCGATGGGTGGGTGGCAGGTGGACCGCCGATGGGTGGGTGGCCGGAGGACCGCCGTTCAGAGTGTACTGTGTAAGGCGCTCCGCCACTCCGCGAAGCCGAGCTGAGCTGATTCTGGTGCTGATGCCCTCGGGGCGGTGATAGCTGAGCAGTTGGCGCAAATGGGACCGCATGCGTGCGAGTGTATGACAGGAGAAAATGCGCTGTATTTTTGTTCGCGGAACAATGTGTCGTGGATTCCGACGAGCAGTTGGGACAACGTTAGCAGACTGTGCGTTATGTTTTGTCCGATCGTTCAAATATGCTCTTAAAAGCTTAATCATTAAGTGCCCTGGCTTTCGTAGGATTAGTTTTAGCGTTAAAGCTATGCGAGATGGATGAGGCAGTGGGCCCCAGTATAGCCGGGAGGGCTCTGTGAAATCCCAAACACACGCGCTGCCGGCCGCTGGGAAGACTGGACATTCGGTGTCCATATCTGCGGCATACCGTTGTAAATTGACTAAGTGTACGAGTATAGGAGCGTGTCCAATACATGCAGACGACAATCGAACTGTTTGCCTCCGTTATTTGAATGTGCGCACGCAGCCCGGGTGTTGCACGCAAAAAGTGCAAAACAGCATATCAAAACTTTGGAACCTCAAACTACTGACATCTCATCTTAGGCTCAACGTTAACCCGCGCCCCACTGGGGTCTGCGTATAACACGCCCTACTGGGGGGGGGGGGGGCTATTCATAGCCCCCTCCTAACTCCGAAACTACTGGGCCGATCGTCAAAATTCAAACGGCGTCTGATAGCCCCGGAAAAACTGTCGAACGGAATCTAATTTCATTGACCTCGAGGTCACCGATGACGTCACAGGTCAGGTCAAAGTAAAAATTATTAGCATTTTGGCTTGTTCACGTTTTGGGCTCTGCCTCTGGCCGCCGTCTTACAAGTCAGATCAGGCTCATTTTTGGTTCACACACTCGTGAACAGATACCTAGATACCCTGAGGGTACCAAACTTGTACTTTGATTTTCAGGTCAAGGTCAGGTCATCACAGGTCACGAAAATATGATATCATGCGTCGGTCACGTGGCACATGTTTTATGGTCCATTTAGGCCAAAGATTTCGAATTTGATGTCGTCTGTGTCATTCGAGGTCATTTTGAGTCGAATTTAGCTTAGGTCAGGTCACTTTCAGGTCAAAAAAGGTCAAATTTTGAAGCTATAATTTTTCAACAGAAAAGGTGTCTATTGGATGCAGTTTGAGCTCAGGAACACGATGGTGCTATTTATATTGGCGTACGATGTCAAATACGTGGTGAAAAATTGATTTATTTGAAAAATTAATAATTGTGAACTTTTTGCAATAATGCGTATAACTTGGCCATTTTTGAAGATATTTAGCTAAAACTTGCTAGAGTTAGTCATAATAACGCGTTCTATCACATATATTCCGGTTTTTTTTTCTCGAAAAGTCAAAAACTTTTTGAAAAAAAAAATGTAAAAATAAAAAATTTGAATTTTATTATATAAAATTTTCAAAATTTTCAAAATTTCGAAAATCCGAGATAGCAGTTTGATAGCGCAGTCTATTCTGAGTCTTCTCATGCAAAGAAATTGGATCTAGCTTAAAAACTGAGCCCTTGGGAGCGATTGCGTTGGTTCAATGTTTTGCGTCGAAATCGGCCGAACATGACGTCACTCTGACGTCATTTCCAGCCGACCTATGGTAGCTACGAAGTTCAAATTTTGACGCAAGGTGTCAAATTGATGCAGCCGAAGGTACTGAAAGTTTGGCGTCGATACGTCAAGCGATTTGGAAGTTTTTGCAGAAAAACGGGAGGGGAGGCTATAAATAGCCCCCCCCCCCCCAGTGGGGCGCGGGTTAACCCACGCCGTGCTGGTGGTCGTTTTCCGTGTCGTGCTGGGGGCCAGTGGGGAGGGCGTTTTCTCGCCCCCTCTCCCCGTCTAAATATATGCATATATCATAGACCACTATATACCTGGGCCTCGTTTCATAAAGCTCTGCCGTAACTTACACCTTTCCGTAATTCACACCCTTTCAAACTACGGAAGGCAATAAAGCCGTTTCACAAAGCCACAACTGGAATTGTTTACACCTCCGTAACTAAGCACATTTGCGTAGTTGCCGTAATTTATCAAGCGTCCTACAAATTACAATTTCATGTCAACACTGATTTTTTACGAGAAATTATAAAACAATTATGTTTAATTTAAAGGTAGTGTGCCACCTTTGAAAGATTTTCCATTTTATTTTTCCTAGGATAAGAAGCTTCTGTTTTGACCTAATATCGCAAAAAAATCAAAAATGGGCCTGGAATAGTGCCTTTTTCGCCTAAAAGCTTATCGGTTTTTCGATATGTATAACAATTGTAGTGGGCTGAGCTGCAAACAGTCGTCGGCAACAATCGCGAATGCGGCGCACATGTGACAATAAGCAAAGGTCATTATAGAGTTCTGACGTACGGGAATGAGTTATCAGCTGTCTAATCGTAGACAACACAATGTCGAACCTTAAACTGTAAGCCTGTATTGGTATTGTTTCTTTTATTTGGCTGTCGAACATTATTTATGGTTTGAAATATGATTTTATGTAAAATAATTGATATGAAAAAGCCGTCTCTTAAGTTATGATCCCATTTCACCACACGCAAGTGGCAAAAATGACAATGATCAGCTGACGCATTTTTCTTGGCCGAAGTCAGAGCGCGCGGCCCGACGCACCACCACCGCACCACAAAGTATGAGCAGAAGCCGCGCCCAAAGCCAGGGCCCCGGTAACGTGAGGTAGCCGAGTCGGGGCAGCGTGCGCTGACCCAAGCCGGGGCCGCAGCTTTGGGCGCGGTCTACCGCATCCCCGCGGGCAGCCCCGGGCTATCACATGACACCGGGAGGACGCGCGGCCCCGGCTTGCGTCAGCGCACGCTGCCCCGACTCGGCTACCTCACGTTACCGGGGCCCTGGCTTTGGGCGCGGTCTACCGCACCACCTAACAGGCGTGTTCGAAACCGCAGGAGATGATGATGAACGGGTTTATCGAAACTTGATTGGATGAGCATATCGGTAATAGCGATTTCAGTGTGTGCATTTATTGTTCATAGTGGTGTGAAATGTGGTTGGGGTACGACCGACAACCCGTCGGGGCGACTTTCGCACTGGGGTACTCAAAATTTGAAGAATTTAAAACGTTTCCATGAGTTTTGAAGGTATGGATAAGTTCTAAAAATCCGGTTCTCCTTATCTGGGCCATTAACTCCATACGGTCCAGGAAAGCTGGCACACTACCTTTAAATCTTAAAAATTATTTATGAAAAAACAAAATTGATATTGATGACCATCCTTAATTAAATTAACCCTCGCCCGTAAACGGTGTTTTGCCACCTTCGCCCATGCAGGGGGGGGGTGGTGGTGGTGCGACCCCCCCCCCTGGCGTTTGAAAACGGAGCGTCGTGGAGCTTAGCGGAAAAGACCAACGGATTGCTGTCAACGAGATCTCGCGATTGGTGGTATATTTTTTTATTCTAGGTCAACATTTGACCTACTTATGACCGGTCAAAGGTCAAATTTTCGGAAAAAGTAACTTTTTCATATTTCTGCGCCGATTGCGGCAAAACGGTAAGAGATATCGACTTACAACCTTCATTATCGTGATCCTTGATTAATTCTCTATCGTTTGGTGTGTATTTCGATGTCATAACTCTAAAAATGATGCGTTGGGAGCATCGGAAGTCTGCAAGGTCATTGTAACATTGGGTCACGTCAGGCGTGTGACGTCACTGACCTGACCCTGACCCAAAATGAACTACAAGAAACAACCGACGATGCCTGAAATGGATAGCAAATTCGAATTCAGGGCATCAAAATACCCCGAAAAGGCATACCTACAAGTGCAAGAAGTCATTACAGGTCAACCGAGGTCACTGACCTTACCTTGACCTTTAGTAACCTTCAAAATGTCAACGGATATTGTGCTAATGTCAAATCAGCCAGTTGTGATTCTAAAACATCAGTGTGTCAGGTCAGTCGGCATTGATACCAATGTGAAGCAATCTCCAATTTAGCGTAAATCTGGCCGGAGGTTGTTCCCTTTATGACGTCATAACTCCGTGACCTGACATGACTTTGACAAAAAAAAAAAATACCAAAAGTTGCGCAAAGGATGCCCCAGAGGGTACTGAAAATTTGAGCAGGCTATCTGAAACGGTTCGGCATGTAGCTAAGAAAAACCTCAGGGGGGGGGTTGCACCCCCCAGCTACATGGGCGAGGGTTAACCCGCGCGGGGCTGGGGTCTCCAGCCGAACGCGCGGGGCTGGGGGGGGGTAAATTTTACCCCCCTGTTATCTCCCGAACTAATGGTCCGATTTGGAAAATTCAAACGCCAATCGAAAGCTCTCATCACGAACTACTGAAAACATGTACTTAATTTAAAGTTTGAGGTCAAGGTCAAGGTCAGGTCAAGGGTACAAATTGCAAGTTTCTACAGTATCGGCCTTGCACCGTAGTTGCCGAAGAATGGAGTCATGGGCTGAGACTGATCGCCCAAAACGTGTTCTTAGGCTACCAAGACAATATTCGTTGCATACAATATCATTCAGAGGTCAAGGTCAAGGTCAGGTCAGGTCAGGTCAGGTCACCAAAAAACAAAATATAGAAAAGGGCATGTGCGACACATGTTTTATGGGTCATTTTACTCATAGAATTCAATAGGCACACTCAATAAGTGATATGGACCACCTCTGGATGAATTTCAGGTCGAGGTCAGGTCAAGGTCAGGTCAAGTGAGGTCAAATTTTGAAGTTGGTTGTTAAGGCCTAAAAAGGTGCCTATCTGATGCAGTTTTTCACGGCGAATCGAATGGTGCTATTTTTGTTTCCGTACGACGTCTAGAACTTCCAAAAAAAGTCATTTTTCAAAAATTTTGTGTGTCGTGACGTCATAAAATTTGAATAACTCCCACATTTTTGAACCGATTCTTCTAAAATTTGGTATGTAGATGCACATAGACCACTTCTCTGACATATATTCCGGTTTTTTCGATAGACTCAAAATTTTGGATTTTATAATGATTTTCCCAAAAAAGTCAGTTTTTTGAAAAAATTTAGGCCAAAATCCAAAATTTTCAAAAAACCGAGATAGCCATTTTATAGACAAAGTAAATTACGTATAACCTTTTTTGTTACGTCTTGATTCCTTTAAAAATGAAGATGTTAGCGGCGTTTGAACTTTTGCCGTTTTTGAGGCGAAAATGGCGAACATGACGTCACTAAAACGTCAATTTCTCAAAAATTTTCCGACGGATTTCGCTCAAATTTTCAGGGAACGTGTCAAATTGATGTAAGAAAAGGTACTGAAAGTTTGGCGGCGCTGCGCGCCGCCGTTTTTGAGATATCGCAAAAATTCGCGAGGGGGGGTAAAATTTACCCCCCCAGCCCCGCGCGGGTTAAGATATTGAAAAGATTTGCAGTTTCGTTTTCTCATTTTGGCTGTTCTTTCTTCCTCAGCGGGCTCAACATTAGAAAATATATTAAAAATTAGTTTCGA